GTTTTTATACTTAGGTGGAGAATAGTACTGGTTTTGGGACTTTCGTACATTTGTGGAACTGGTTTTGAGATTTACTCTTGTCCGCTCTGCGACAGCTGTCGTCGGTCAGGTGGTCGGTGATGGTGGGATACATGGTAGTTTGATACAGTCTGAGGGTGGTGTCAAGTACGTCCATTATTATGATAACTAACGACTGATAAGTGTGACAAGAAGTACGGCCCGGGTATCGGGTCGACAACTAAAGGGCTCCGTAGAGCCAGGGGCGACGGCAACGAGGTCAGAGACCCTCCTACCGAAGCCAACTACGAGTCCATCATGACCGCTAAGGCGACCAAGTAGACTGAGGACATGCGTACCGCCGGAGCGGCAGCACGTACAACGCGGGTATGCTGCCATATAAGGCAACAAACCCCTTTAGGACCGCTTGCGCGACCCCCGACGTGGAGTGCGAACACCGAAGTGACTGCGTGGCGTGGAGAACGCCAACCCGCCATATATCTCTCCGAGGAGCTCAACCATCTGCGATGGTGGCCCCCTTCAGCCGCTTGCGCGGCCCCCGACGTGGAGTGCGATCACCGAAGTGACTGCGTGGCGTGGAGAACGCCAACCCGCCGTATATCTCTCCGAGGAGCTCAACCATCTGCGATGGTGGCTCCCTTCAGCCGCTTGCGCGGCCCCCGACGTGGAGTGCGATCACCGAAGTGACTGCGTGGCGTGGAGAACGCCAACCCGCCGTATATCTCTCCGAGGAGCTCAACCATCTGCGATGGTGGCTCCCTTCAGCCGCTTGCGCGGCCCCCGACGTGGAGTGCGATCACCGAAGTGACTGCGTGGCGTGGAGAACGCCAACCCGCCGTATATCTCTCCGAGGAGCTCAACCATCTGCGATGGTGGCTCCCTTCAGCCGCTTGCGCGGCCCCCGACGTGGAGTGCGATCACCGAAGTGACTGCGTGGCGTGGAGAACGCCAACCCGCCATATATCTCTCCGAGGAGCTCAACCATCTGCGATGGTGGCTCCCTTCAGCCGCTTGCGCGGCCCCCGACGTGGAGTGCGATCACCGAAGTGACTGCGTGGCGTGGAGAACGCCAACCCGCCGTATATCTCTCCGAGGAGCTCAACCATCTGCGATGGTGGCTCCCTTCAGCCGCTTGCGCGGCCCCCGACGTGGAGTGCGATCACCGAAGTGACTGCGTGGCGTGGAGAACGCCAACCCGCCATATATCTCTCCGCGGAGCTCAACCATCTGCGATGGTGGCTCCCTTCAGCCGCTTGCGCGGCCCCCGACGTGGAGTGCGATCACCGAAGTGACTGCGTGGCGTGGAGAACGCCAACCCGCCATATATCTCTCCGCGGAGCTCAACCATCTGCGATGGTGGCTCCCTTCAGCCGCTTGCGCGGCCCCCGACGTGGAGTGCGATCACCGAAGTGACTGCGTGGCGTGGAGAACGCCAACCCGCCGTATATCTCTCCGAGGAGCTCAACCATCTGCGATGGTGGCTCCCTTCAGCCGCTTGCGCGGCCCCCGACGTGGAGTGCGATCACCGAAGTGACTGCGTGGCGTGGAGAACGCCAACCCGCCGTATATCTCTCCGAGGAGCTCAACCATCTGCGATGGTGGCTCCCTTCAGCCGCTTGCGCGGCCCCCGACGTGGAGTGCGATCACCGAAGTGACTGCGTGGCGTGGAGAACGCCAACCCGCCGTATATCTCTCCGAGGAGCTCAACCATCTGCGATGGTGGCCCCCTTCAGCCGCTTGCGCGGCCCCCGACGTGGAGTGCGATCACCGAAGTGACTGCGTGGCGTGGAGAACGCCAACCCGCCATATATCTCTCCGAGGAGCTCAACCATCTGCGATGGTGGCTCCCTTCAGCCGCTTGCGCGGCCCCCGACGTGGAGTGCGATCACCGAAGTGACTGCGTGGCGTGGAGAACGCCAACCCGCCGTATATCTCTCCGAGGAGCTCAACCATCTGCGATGGTGGCTCCCTTCAGCCGCTTGCGCGGCCCCCGACGTGGAGTGCGATCACCGAAGTGACTGCGTGGCGTGGAGAACGCCAACCCGCCGTATATCTCTCCGAGGAGCTCAACCATCTGCGATGGTGGCTCCCTTCAGCCGCTTGCGCGGCCCCCGACGTGGAGTGCGATCACCGAAGTGACTGCGTGGCGTGGAGAACGCCAACCCGCCATATATCTCTCCGCGGAGCTCAACCATCTGCGATGGTGGCTCCCTTCAGCCGCTTGCGCGGCCCCCGACGTGGAGTGCGATCACCGAAGTGACTGCGTGGCGTGGAGAACGCCAACCCGCCGTATATCTCTCCGAGGAGCTCAACCATCTGCGATGGTGGCTCCCTTCAGCCGCTTGCGCGGCCCCCGACGTGGAGTGCGATCACCGAAGTGACTGCGTGGCGTGGAGAACGCCAACCCGCCGTATATCTCTCCGAGGAGCTCAACCATCTGCGATGGTGGCTCCCTTCAGCCGCTTGCGCGGCCCCCGACGTGGAGTGCGATCACCGAAGTGACTGCGTGGCGTGGAGAACGCCAACCCGCCGTATATCTCTCCGAGGAGCTCAACCATCTGCGATGGTGGCTCCCTTCAGCCGCTTGCGCGGCCCCCGACGTGGAGTGCGATCACCGAAGTGACTGCGTGGCGTGGAGAACGCCAACCCGCCGTATATCTCTCCGAGGAGCTCAACCATCTGCGATGGTGGCTCCCTTCAGCCGCTTGCGCGGCCCCCGACGTGGAGTGCGATCACCGAAGTGACTGCGTGGCGTGGAGAACGCCAACCCGCCGTATATCTCTCCGAGGAGCTCAACCATCTGCGATGGTGGCTCCCTTCAGCCGCTTGCGCGGCCCCCGACGTGGAGTGCGATCACCGAAGTGACTGCGTGGCGTGGAGAACGCCAACCCGCCGTATATCTCTCCGAGGAGCTCAACCATCTGCGATGGTGGCCCCTTCAGCCGCTCGCGCGGCCCCTTGACGTGGAGTGTGCGCTCGCCGCAGCGGCGACACGTGGCGCGGGGTACGCCTCCAGTCCGTAAAACACCCCTGCTAGGGCCGCTTGCGCGACCCGTCGGTCTCCTACGCCCACTCCCGCGACTGCGAGTGCAGCGTGCCCGCGTCAGATCTTCGACCACGTCGGCTCCCCAAGGGGAGGATTCCCTCCGACGTGACTGCCCCGAAGGGAAAAAGACTGGCTTGAGCTGAACCGTGAAAATTTGGGAATGCCCCGCTCCGTCCAATGCTGCGCGTTGGGCTGATGCAGCAGGAGCTTTGATTTCGGCAGCGCTGAACGCAGATGCTGTGATTCCAGTGCAGCCGATTGTTGGATATGGATCTGCCCAGTGCGATAGAGAAAGGGCAATGGCTTCAGCACGAGGTTCATTCAGTGCAGTCCTACCCATCGAGATCCACGGAGGCTACATATCCAACTGGCTGGAACTCTCCTGCAAGTACAACTGGCTGCTCGTAATCCGCAGTGGCGCCAGACTTGTTTATGCGTCACTGGATTTTTGCATGTGCGATCGCTGTTTGCCTCTCCACTGTACATCAATAGGACGTCCGCCTTTCAGCCACTGGATTTCTGGCTGCGCCTGTGGTGGTCCACTGGACTCTTGAGTGCCGTCTTTGACAACTTCCACTTCGCATTTTGCTACCTGCCCCAGCGACCTTCGGTAAAGCCCCAAGCATCCATGCGCTACTACAGCGTATTCGTCCCTGCCGCTGCTGTCGCTATCTTTGGGGTGTCAGCTGTGCAAGATTGCCGCGATGTTCCGAGATGTGTGGCGGGTCACAAGCGCTCGAGTGCCTACTTAGCGAAAATTACCCGGATATGCCTCAGTGCTAGAGAGGGTGGCGCAATCGATGAGTGCTGCTACGACCACTGTCAGATGCCTCCATGCTATTCTCTATCGCCGTGTCATAACATTGGCTTAGGCCTTTCCGATCGAACACAATTAGCGTGCGAGGCCCAAACCGAGTTGGAAGTTAATGGTTACAGCAAGTGTTGCGCAGCCTGCTGTCTCGCTTCAAACCCTGAAAGTTGCGCGGGAAGTTTTGTGGGCTAGCGTTCACGTTAGTCCCTAGCACGAACAAGCACTCTGCGAATGGTCTGGACAAGAAGGTTTCGCCTATCATGTCGATATTGTGCGAGACGCAAGAGACAAACGTGGGCAGCAGGAAGCGACGGGCAGCAGGAAGCGACGGGCAGCAGGAAGCGATGGCAGTAGGAAGCGACAGTCAGCTAGTTTTCATTTAAACAAGTTGTCACTTTTACTGCGTATCTCGTTCAATATTGCGTCGCGGTGTGGGTGATGATGCCCGTCGATGGCTCACTTTGTGGCAGCTCTTGCTTCTCTCGCGATCTGCGTGCATTTCCGTGTGTACGTACTCACGCAGGTGATCCGTTCCTGCCCGAAGCCGCCGTTGCATAATGACCGCACATTGGAACACGTCAAGAGCTGGTTCGCTGACCAGCCGCTGTAGGCGTCACGTGTAGATCGCTGACAATAGCAGCCCATTGCTGAGCAATTGCCTCTCGCTCGCAACTTGTGCACGCGCAAGCCGCAGCTCTAGTTCTTCATCGCCCGGTGAGCAATCCGTGCCTTGAACATCGACTGACCCATTACCTGACGCCAGAAACGAGAGTCGAATGAACACGCAGCACCTGCCAAAGTGTCGGCTGCGACTGCTCGAGGCGTCGAGTGCCCCTGTCACGACGGACTCGACCGAACGCACGTGGGACGAGACGTCGCTGCCGAAACGGCACTCGAAGTGCAAACAGGACGCGACAATGTCTCCTTCTTCTTCTTCTCCTGCCAAAGGATGCGACACCACAGTCGACCGCCAACAGTCGCGACGGGACGCCGAGCGGTACAACTAACTCCCCACACAATCGCACGAAATCGGGCGCCGACTATTACAACCGAAGCACTCGGTGCAAGTGGCCGCTCGTCTCGATCGGCGGTCGCTCGCTCCAGTTCGCCGTACCACTTTGCGTCATGCGCGTGACCCGCGAGACGCATTCGCTCGAGTGGGACAGTCGCCAACGCGCGTCGCGTTGCTCGCACTTTCGGAAATGGTTCGACTCGAGCACAAGTGCCAATAGCCAACGAGCGGACCTCAGTCTCGAGCACCGCACACCGCAGCAGCAGATGGACATTTGGTTGGCGCTGTGTGTCGCTCGTCGACCTGCAGGTGTCCCCATGTCGCCCCTGCGCTCGTCCAGTCTCAAGAAAGCGCCGTCGCCACTGGCAGTCAAGTGGAGTGCGTACATTGGCGCTATGGGCCTCAAGGACACGAGCAGAGACGCGCGGCGTCGCGTCCAGTTTGCTGCAGACGATGCAGAGCACTACGACGCTGTGGAATGGACCGAAGACGAGAAGACATTGTGCTTTTATTCCGCTGAAGAATTGGACGAGATGGAGACGCTGTCGAAGCAGCACGTGCACCGCGGGGTGCGCTTCACGGACCAGCCGGAGGACACGGTGCTGGAGCAGGGCTTCTTGAGTGTGCCGGTGAACGCACCTTTTTTCCAATCCCGACGGTACTACTGCTTGCTGCGAGGCCATCGACTGCAGCTGTTTAGTTCGGCGGTCCACGCGGCCAAGAGCTCGGGTCGGAAAGAACAGCTCACGGTTCTCCGCGTACAGGACTGTCAGACGCTTTCGATGCGGAAGAAGTTTGCGCTGTTTGGCGCGCAGCTGCCCCCGCAGATCGGTTTGATGTTTTACGTGATCAAGGCCAATGGCGAGCGAGTGCTGTTGATTGCAGATGCCAAGAGCGCTAAGCGCAATTGGGTGCACGCACTCAGTCGTCTGACATACATTGGTGAAGGCGAGAGCGTTGCCAATACTTCTGCCCCTCGGAGTCGCTCGAGCTCGGCTCCGATGCCGCCGTTGGCCATCTTGTCACCCGTGCTGGAAGCTGACTCGGAAGAAGAAGTGTACGGCGACAGGACGGCAGTGGGACCCGTGAAAGTGGAAAGGAGAAGCAGCTGCACGGCGCTTTGCTGATGGTGATGGGATCATGCAAGTCAAGAAGAGTCGGGCACGAGGCGACATGGTGTATTTTGTATTGTACGGGCGGATTGAAGTAACAGAAGGGAGAAATGTCGGCGGGCACGCGACGACTAATTAACTAAACACGAAGTTGGAAGAAGGAGGTAAAGGACGTTGTTATCGCGTATGGTGCATTGGTTGAGCTTCGTTGACCTGATCCTGGAAACAAACTGACCAGGATAGCGTCAGTCGACAGATTTGGACACAGGTTTGGTTGCATGCGGCGCACGGTGAGCATCAAGTGACGAGATTTGCCTTATGAATGCGATCCACTAGACGCAAGTGCACAAGGCAAAAGTCATTTGCAAACAAAAGCGAGCTGCATCAACTGAGCTACATGTGGTTTCGCAACAATCTGTAAGGGTCGTGAAATTCTTGAGCAATTGTGCGGTGCTCACGAAAAGGTGACACTGTGAGGGTCTGATTGCTTGGGCAAGCAAAGAATTGACTGCCCGTACAGAAGTAAGTTACATGGTAGAAGCAGACGATAAACCGTATTGTCTTGGGCGAGTCGCTGCTTAGCTGAATTGCTCTCATCATGTGGTGAAGTTACAGTTGGAAGAATACAGCCGCAGATCCGGTCACCGTCGTCTTTGACCCTGGACCGTCGTCAATGATCTGAACGCCGCCTTGCTCGTTTGTACAAGTGAACCTTTTCATTCACTGTGAAAGCGTTTGGCCACTTCATGTCCTTGCAGCTACTCTTGTCGACTTGTAGACTACAAAAGATCCTTGTCGCAGAGAGGATGCGGCAAGACTACTCATGAGATCTAAACTCAGACAGACTCGCACCGTAGACTGGATTCTAGTCGTTGCGTTTCTCGCTTACGATGTGGCCGGCGCAAATGAAGAGCGCATTCTTCTGAATGCTACGAGGCTTAATACGATTATCTTCCGCTGACCCGGCAAAATTGTAATGGGTTAGTTCGTCACATGACATTGACATCACGTAGATTAATGTGAATTATATCATAAGTATTGATATGAATTGATATTACCTGTTTAAGGAACTATTGCTCGAATATTACCATCAACGATAATGTTGACGGCCACTCCTCTTGTTGGTCCATATAGGCCATGATCCAAACCAACTTAACCACCAATCGCTGCTAGAGGCGCGCAACGGGCGGTGAGAGCGTAGCTACTATTATCCTTTTCGGTTTATAATTGAAGTAAGAACAAGAGAGTTTTGTAAAGGTTTTGATCGTATGAATTACAATTTCAGTATTTCCTTCTACTGAAAGGGGCAACATAAAACGTCAGCTTTCTTCTGCGCGTACATTGTAGATTTGATCGAAAGGCATATTCCTCCACCGTTATAGCGTAGATAGCTTGCACCGTATCAGTCCAAGCGAGGGTGCTCCGTTCTAGTCTACGACATCAGTATATGTCATTTATAATCACTAATATCGGAACCATACGAAGGCGAATGTACAGACACGCGTAATCCGATTTTGCACCTTCGTTTTTTGCACCTCAGGTCTCCAAGACCAGCTCATGTCTTCAATTAGTTGATAGCTACAAGATTGGACCATACGCGGCCTAGCGTGTCCTGTGAAGCTCAATCCTGTATCCAACTACGATCGCTTCGAGGTAATTGCCGTAATTTGTGCAATTTATCAAAAAGTAGCAGATGCACTATCGCGTAAATTATGTCATCGCATCACACACGCTGCAATAGGTCATTAATGAACGATTCTGGTTGAGACTGCACGTCGTCAGCATTCATCGTAAAGATCATGAGCCTATAGCACAAATCATGGTGGGGTACTTTTGAGCGGTGCTAGCACGGGTGTTAAATAGGAAGTTTCAAAACACGCGAAGAACGAGACGTTTGCCATGGCGTTAAGCTCCACACAAGTGTGCAATGCCACTTTGACGTTATTCGTTTGCAATATTCACGATCAAGGGAATGCTGATGGTGGTGGTTCTGTATAAGAGAGGCGATTGTAAAATAGGTAGGTTGTGTGTCTCACAATCGGTGATAGCCAGTGAATACCGGTGATAGTTGATCAAGAAACCACCCAGTGTTCCGGTAGCTATAACATGAGGTGTGAGGCCACTAAGCAAGACATCAACCAGCTTGAAGCTGGAACTGGGAAAGGGCTCCTGTGAAAGGGAGAGGTACGATTGCATCAACACTTAGAGAGATCCATATTTTATGACAGTATGTCTTTTAGAATAGGGCACACTACACTCTTACTGACACAGTACAAGCTACCTACACTGACATAGTGTAAAGTGGGTGCCCCGAGACCTCACGTACAATGTACGTGTAGAAGATGGCTGTTGCTCTAGATAGCAGTGTTTTACAGAAGAAAAGAAAACAGTTGTTTCTAAGAAGGTTAACCTTACAAAAATCCTCTCAACATCCCCTACAAAACCCCCAGCAAATTCCTAGGATCTTACGTCAACTATACTAAATTCCAATTTGTATATGTAGCTACTCGCTCACCACTCATTGCGCGCGTCTTGCACCGACTCGAGGTTTATCCCGTGGACATAATGGCTTTTAGGAAAAAATGAGTAGAGCGATGCCGAAACCTACTTGCGAAGGTACTATTCACTTTGACCAATTTTGGTGTCAGTTACATGCAACACGCTCACTTCATTACATATACGGCGCGAACACTAATCCCTGCAAAGCTCTACAGTTCCTTTTGCGCTGTCGTTCTGTTCCCACGTTAGTCTTACACAAGTAGCTGACGTTGAACGCGTATGGTTCGATCGCGACATATTCTTAAATATCTGTCGTTTGTTCGTGGCGTGTAGAGTGTCAATCGAGTAGACCTCTTGAGCTTATTCAGCAAAATCCGATGTCTCGCTGGTTACGTGTTGTCTCAGCAGTGGGTACCATCAGTATACTCTTTACCTGCCAAACGCTTGAGCTGAAGGGAACACGGCCATCCATCGGATAGTCAATACCGCTCGGACAGCGCAATAAGCACTACTTGCGCGGAAATCGGCTGGACGTGCACACGTCGAACGTTACCGACTCTTGTTGCTCTCTCATTCGTTTGCTAGACAGCAACAACACGCTTATCGTAAGAAACTTCGAGCATTTCTAGTCGTGCGCGCTTTCGAATCAACCTGTACTCAGGAGGGCACAAACTTGTCGTACTATAGTATACAATACCTTTCCAACCAAGAAACGACACTAGTTACCACTTTTCCGCTTCTACATCTGACAACAGCCTTAGCAGCTTCCGAGAGCTGGTGATGCACGTCTACTTGATGTGCAAATGGCGCAAACCTTAGTTTCTCGTTCTCGAGAAGGAGAGGTGGAGTTCCAATCCTCACCTGTATGTTGCGAAGATTAGCCTTCATCTGAGCAGACGTGCAACACCCTCAACTACCTGTTTATCCCGCAACACCACGATGCCCCGAAGTCTGAAACTGGCACGAGCAAAACGTGTGCGTGTTTACGCATGTTCCATCGAGACGCGCCACACAACTTGAGCAGACGGTGTGAAACAGACATCCAACAAGCGGCAATCGGTTACATGTCAGCCAACTACGCCTTATGCAACGCACAACCATTGCAGTGAATATGGATCGTCTCGCGTCATGCAATGGGGCGGGCAGTACCCGGATAGAGCAAGAGGGTGGGTCAGTGTTCGGCTTCGCGGCAAATATTGGGACGAGTGAACAGGTCGACAGAGAACGCAATTGCACCTTTGCACTTCAAAGACGGAGACCTTTGATATTGAATGATGAGCTTAACAGCGTCGATTCACGATAGTTGTAAGATACACTCCATCGCTCGGGCGCGACGGACTGTGCCTGTTGCTCTTGCTGACGAAGACATTGTGACCCTTGGCTGCTATTCTGATGCTGACGATACTATCGAGCACAGATGACGAAAAAGCGCCTTGTCCACGCAGCCATCGACCTCGGACATGGTGGAGTCATGCGAGTAGACTGCGTCATCGAGCGATTAGCTGCCAGGAACGTCCGGACAAGAACGATAACATCCGCAGCAATCGAAGCTGCCGTCGTTTTGTTGGCGCTCACGTAGACAAACTCCACCTGGACAGCAACTTGTACTCGGCTTACACCTGTACACGAAATCATGAAAAGATAAAGACAAACAGGTGGGCGTCAGCGTACAGTTTTGCGTCAACAAATCAGCAAGTTCGGTGACTTGCTGCTTTACCATTCATTCTGATGACACATGCGCCACGTGGGACTGAGACACATTGCTCTCGAGTCTTCATGCCAGCAAGAAACAGGTTAAGCGCTGCGTAGCTTGAGTTCAACTCCGTCATCATCAGCGTCGGGATTCAACGCGTCCTGACCAGACGAAACAGAAGGCGACATAGTGCCTAGTGGAGAGCTGTGTAGTGCATTGGACTTCGGCGTGAACTCAAATACGGTCTCCTTCGACCCATCCTCCTGCGTATTCTCCTCCGTTGGCAATTTCGCCTTCAAGTACATATAATCGTTGTATGCGTTACGGTACTTGCGATGGACAATGAGAATCGCCATCATCAGGAGTAGAACCACAAATCCCACAATAACGACCGCTGCATAAACTGAGTAGAGGGCAGTCGTGTCGAGCACCACTGCGCTCTCCGTGCACGCCGAGATTGTGTCAGTGCTCTCCGACTTTGAACCGCCGTAACACGCTAACTTGCGAGCATACGATACCAACTGCTCACCACCATTGCAAGTCGAGCGAAGTTCGTTAAAGTAGTCTTCATCGCATATTGGGCAAGCGTACGCAGTTTTCCAGACAACGTTCCAATTGCACTCGTTGTCGTCTTTTGACGCCGACGCTGGTTCGCTTGTCGTACCTAGTCAATCCAGACACATCAAGCCAAGGTATCAGCACTGTTATCTCATGCTAAACATCAAGCGCTCAAGCTCACCGCTGCGGAGATCACACACAAAATTAAACGTCGTAGACATCATTTTGCCATTACCGCACGGCGATCCGCCCGTCAACGAAACCTTCACACCAGCGCCCGATTCTAATGGCAAGATGTCGATGTGGCTTCCACCGTTCATGAGCTTCCATTGCTGCAACAAAGTCAAAAAAAGGAAAATTAGATGCCCGAAAACAAACATCGACGATATCCCATTCAACGTACTGCTGGAGCCGAGCACATGACGTTGCCGTACACGGGGCTGTTTTGCTGATATAAGTTGCCAGCTTCACGTGGGTTCGCCGTACTCGCAAGAACCACGTAAGCCACTTCGCTGCTTGTATCCACTTGTTGGTCTACAATTTGACCCGGGACCTGCTGCAACCAGCTACTTCCAAGGGGACGGAAAATACCAGGAAACCAGTAATTTTGGCTGTCCACCTGGAAAGCCAATGTTGACTCAACAGGCTTTGTCGACTGCAGGCTGGTCGCATTTCCATACACTGTATCGTCCAAGATCCAGCTCCTGTTGCCCCACACAAGCGCCTCCAATAGTGACAGGTTGTACGTCACCTGTAAACCATCGAGCGCCGATGCTACGCTACCAGATGGTGATGACGATGATGATGGTGACAGTGTTATCGATTCCGAAGACGAGCTAGCATTTAGCGTCAGTACCTGGGGAGCAGCGCAAGCCATTGCACCGGGCTTGCTGTATGTATTTGTACCACACGGAATACACTCCGCTGAACCCTCTCTTGAGTACCAGTTTGCCGGACATTCAACACATGCGACGGTCTCAGATGACTCAACAGCTTTAGCAAACGTACCAGCAGGACAAATACGACAGCCTTTTGTTTCTTGGCCGTCGTCCGAAAGTGCTGGTTCGTACCCTGGCGGACATCGACCGCAGTCCACGCCGGCACCTTCTTGAGTACCCGTGAATCCCAAAAACAATAATTTTGCCTCGATTGCGCGCTTTGCCATAGCACTGCTGGCTCGTACTACGAAAGAAAACTCCTTTCGAATCAAACCTGTGACGTTGACGGGAACGACTTCGTTGAACGTGCCATTCTCACTGCCATGTAGCAGGTGGACGATGCTTTCATCTTCTTTCGTTCTGCTGCTGTTGCCGCTGTCATTACCACTCCTCTGAGCGGTCGAAAGGTCTATTTTCGTTCGAACTTTGATCAGGCCGTCATCAGCGTCGCGGATTTCCAGCTCAACCCACGCACGTGAATCGCTGTTCGCAGACGTGGGAACATTGCTCAATTGATAAGTCAAATTCAACGAGCCAGAGTGTATGAAGGGCACCACGAACGACAGCACCGAACGGCTCGGCTGACTCCAAAACTCGGCGCCTTCTTCGTCATCCGTATGCTGAGCAAATCGCACACCGCTCTTCGACAGCTTCCACCCTGCATGCTGGGCTCGCTCAGCATCGATAATTTGGGGCCACGAACTCCACCCGTCTGGTGTCCCGACGCCATACTCAAGTGCGTTGACAACAACCATACCAGCAGGACAAGCTTTGCAGTCGCCGATGGCTGTCATTGCTTGTCCTGCAGCACAAGCACTGCACTCGTCACCTTGTGCAGGTTTGTAGCCTCGCGCACAGCTAGCGCATTCGACGCCCTTCAGCGGACGGGGAAGCTCAATGCTTTTTTGAAGTGTCAAATCGCACGTCTGCGGCTCGATCCATGCGTAAGTGACGTTGCGTGCGCCATCCTTGCAAGCAGTATACGTCTCGTTTACATCGTCGATTGAGCACGGACGCTGCTCGACACAGGAAGAAATACCGATAGACCCTTTTGGGGCGTACATGTTCGGTGGACACGGGTTACACGTAAAATCCAGCTCGCTGTTAGACTTTGCAGCTGCATACTCGTTAGGACCACAGAAGGCGCAAAGGGAACCCCCATTATTCGTCATGTCTCCACCGCAGCTGTGGCAGTGCAGGTCCGACCAAGCCGTGCCCACCAGTTCAATTACTTTGATGTAAGCCTTGTCCTCTCCAGCATCTCCCGTGTAGTCCTTCATGTAGTTCCACACCAACGTGTGTGCTCCAGCAGCCACCGGCACGACGGCTTCTTTCCATCCATCCGACTGCGAAATGAGCTCAGCCCCTCGGGCGTCGTCGATCTGGAATATCAAGCCGTCATAAGGCGGCTCTGCATCCACGCGATACTTGTATGTGACGGAGCCGTTCCGCACAAAAGTCGCGCTGATTCGCAGCGTTGAGAACAATCTCGTGCCTTGGAAGTTTTCCATAACTCTCGAGTTGGCTCCTGACGAGATGGACGAACCATCGATCGAGGGTGCCCATGGATGGCAGTTGTGTTCCCAACGACCCGTAAACATGTTTCGAGTCACGCAGTCGCTCTGCAACTCGGCAGACAGCGGTACACTCCACGCGTTTGTCCGTTGAGAGAACAGTGCACCTCCACCCAGTGAGTACTTTCCCTCAGGACATCGTTCGCATCCAGAGACGGGCTCGGGCCCGGAAAAGCTACAAACAAACAAATCGCAATCAGTACCACTCACTTTGTCACCCATAGCGGACGACATCTGGGTAGACCCAAATTAGCTCCTGATGACGTACTTAGCGCCAAGATAAAACCCTTGACCACAATGGATATCGCATCGCAGTCCACGAACCGGCGCTGTCAACAACAACAAAAAACGCAACAAAACACCCACAAAAACGCACTTAAGAATAAACCCACTTTTGACGTGTTTTTTTTCAGGTCCGTACGTTTCGAGAGCACTTCGCCTGTCGAGTTGGCGAGACACGTGCCCTTGCTCGGGGAGTAGTAGAAGAGCGTGCGCTTGTTGTCCACGCAGTCACTGAAGCCGTAATGAAGCTCGAGACTGGCTACGAGCACCCAGCAGGCCGCACACACTCCTGTGGTCAGCCACGTCGCCGGTCGCATCGCTTTCTGAAGATGTGGGTTTGACACGCGTAGATGTACCTAAGGAGTTTACACAGCTGTCACGCCGAAGTACGTTAAGTACGCATGTAGCCACGTGACGCGTTCGTGCGTGTTTGCGCTCTTTCGTCTTCGGACATTTGTTGCTGGTACACGTCGCTACCGTTTACTACCGCACGTGTGTATATGTATATCTGATGAACAGAGCGTTGATGCGACCGCGGCATCGACTGTAGTGACAGTGACTGGCCCCAGAATGGATCTCAATGTCACGTGTAGACAGGATTTTGCACCGTACTTTGTTTCTTGCAATAGCTGTCAGTCAGAGCTTATGATCCTCGCAGCAACGTCGGCCCTGTCATCGTATATTGCTGGAGCTCCGTACGGAAAAGAGACGATGCAGAGCTTATCGGGAACGTAACGATGCGCTGATCGACGACGAGCTGCTGCGTTTAGGTGCGTAATATGAGTACTATCCATCGACGCTGTTTGTTAGACTGCGACTGTGTGTTGACCACGTGTGCCGCAACTAGAAGAGAGAGAGAACAGATTGTCTATTTACTGGTTAGTGCAAGATCTCTGGTAGGTTGTTAACCACACTAGCAACGCTGGAGGGTCCAGGCATTGCCTACGGCTGGCAGCCTGGCTATGAAAGCCGGGCTGCCCTCTCGGTTCTGATATAAATATGTCGTAACATGCAGAAAGTTGGGCGCCACGCACGGCCGTGTCAGCCCTGCAATGGAGACGTTTGATGAGCGCCCGCAATTGAAGCTGAATCCTCCCCCAAATCATGGCTTCACTGGCTTGCATCGGGATTTTCGCATTGTGAAAAACTCTGTCCACGCGGTGTTGCCAGAGCATTGTGATGATGACGGTCCCTGCGACCTCCCAGATCGTCCTCCAGGCCGTGGCGAATTGATCGATGTCGTCTGGGTATCTGACTAACAGCATTGCCGTGACCTGCGGCGAAATGCGTGGTACTCTACAGTTTGCGCAGTGCTCGAGCCAATCCAGTATATGGTGAGGCTTATGAGGTGTGCTCTCCCAATGACTGATGAGCCGTGCCCAGATTGCCTGTGCACGGGTACATTCCCAAAAGAGATGCTCCTGGGTCTCCTTCTGTCCGACACATTCTCGATACGTGCAAGACCCGTCCGGAGGCCGGTCCTGATACCAAAGGTTTAGCTGACCGGTAGCGTGGCGGTATCGTGTCCATAGCTGATATTCCGTCACCGCGTGTCCGTGACCCCATAGATGAGCCGGCGAGACATCGAGAGCTGCGCGTTGCCAACGGTTATGCTGGCTCTTGGTGCCCAGTCTATCAATGACCTGCTTCAGCGGTGTCGCAAGACACCGCTTAGCCGACTTGAAAGCTTGCCGTTTCAGGAACGAGAAGACGTGATGATTGGGAACCGTTAGCGGAGCGGACCATGGAAAGCGGTGGACCTGTGGGTTGGAAAAAAAGACGACCCCATTTCGGATGAGCCTGCACTCCGCGAGTTGGGTGATTTCCTGCGTTTTTCCTTGGACCCGCGGCGGTTCCCCGTCGAAAACCCATGAAATGCCATTCTGGCATTGAATGAGCTCCCAACGCTGGTGTGCCGCAACTAGAAAGGTGCCGCGCGGTCACGATTTGCTCGACACGTGGAGCGAGCGACACCAAACTGTGTCCTGGGAGCCACGTTGCAAAGCTTCAGCCTCTACCGGCACTGACTTTGGATGTGTGCTTCAACTAATCTGCGCGATACCGAGCGCTTTCTTCACTGATTGTTTATCGTTGCGAGACGACCGCATCGAACGGATCAAGACAAGATTTCTGCTCCAAAGGACAGCAGCAGCTCCACATGTATGGCACAAACAACGTGCGTCATTCTTTCGTCAGCAATCTGCTTTTGCCTTCTGGTTGTTACAAGCAGTGCGTTTGTCTTACATGTCCGATCGACTCTCGAGAACGAGTGTGCAGCTCAGTTGACAAGAAGGGTTAGTGAAACATTCACCAATGACTTCACATTCAGAGACCGCAGGCTGTGCGTAGTGGTTCGTCAGTCATGTTCCTTGCTTCCCACACTCCTCTGTGGACAGATCGTCGAACAAATACAACCCATCTTCGCGGGCCTTATGCTTGCAACTGCTTAAATGCATCGAAAACAATCAACGGGACTTCTTGCTCGTATGAGGTGGTAAACGCTGTTTATCTGTAATCAGTACCACCAAAGCGAGCATCGCTGGGTTGCTAGCTGAGCTCACGTCGCTCACCAGCTATCGCTCGATCACAAGAGACGAGGGGCGCAAACGCTGATAAGCAAACAGCTCATGAAAGCGCTCGTGGTTCTTCGACTTAGCTTCCGTCGGCAGCTGTTGGTCTGTCATGTGTGACTAGTCATGGTCAGTGCGCGAGCGTACTTTGTCCTCTAGACAAACGTAAAGGACGGTACGGATCTTGACTATACCTAGTGGCGTCATCTACCACCTTTACTGGCCTCGACGTGTTGACAATCGTCGTGGTACTTTCGGTGTTGTGCCTCGGAGAGCTCTCTTCTGATGTCACGCTCCGGCACTTGCAGCTCAAAACATGAACCGTGAGTCAAGACGGAGCTGCTTGGCGAGCACGTGGTATCGACAGACGTTCAATACCGAGGAGTACGATTCTTGACAAGTGGAATACAACGAACAACGTCTTGAAGAAAGATGTGATCGCGCTGTGGAGAGATTGAAGAACAGGCGTGGCACTCGTTGCTGCTCATTTGCTCGTGAAAATGCCAGGATACTCTCCAGGGCAACACACGTCGTGCTGCTACGTGCAGACCGTATCAGTTATTAATCCGTCAACTACCTCTTTGGTTGTCCAACAATGCTTACATGGCGCGGTCGATTCTTCTAGATCCACGATTAGTCTTTCGGTGAGCTGGTTCTAAACCATTAAGTAGTATGCAACACACCAAAGGATACTCGCCGAGTTGGTCACCGTATAGAACGCACGTGCGTCGACCTCGTGATCGAGTATGGAACGTGTCAAGAAGATAAGTAGTTCCCCTTCGCAAGAGGTCAACAACTACTTAGCGATGAACTTCGGATTCTGGATCGTGGCATCCTTTACTGCAACTCATTTTGTGGCATCTCGATCTTGACTGCGCGTTCAAATGTTAAACATCGCTAGGGGCTAGTCGGGACTCGTGGCTTGCCGTGAGTACCTACGATGACATGCCAAGCACGGCAGCAATGACGATCAAATACAAAACAGAAGCTCGTAGTGCTTCTCGGTAGGTTGAGCAGAGGAAGGCCCTGTCCTGCTGACAAGTGCCACGTGCCACCTTACTTATCGTTTTTCTCGCCGACATCCAGTGGCGTTGCAAGCTCTTTTGCTGCCCGACGGACCAGCAGCTGCTGTTAGGAACACGAGGTCGTGCGAACAGCAAGTCCGATCAATGCCACGAACGTCGAGCAATAGTCGACTCCTCATTGAGGCTGCACAATGTCTCAAGATTATTGAAGGATGACGGCAGTTTGTACGCAGTCAGGTTGCAGTATACACACCGCAAGAGCTGCTGGAAGGACCATCGCAGACGCATCTTATAGCGTGTTGACTCACATTGATATGCCCTCAGCGGCACATTTCGACCTACAACGCCAGCGTTCATTTCGTTCAGACGACAAAAGTGGATACAAACAGAGCCGTTCGACGATACAGACGAGAAGCATAGGCGGTCGGTCACTTCTCCTGCATCGAGTGTAGTGAAGTGGCTGCCCCAAAGCGAAGTCACGAACATTCAATGCACCTGTGACTTTTGCTTTACGAGAAAAAACAACATACTTCGACCTCCGTGATACGTGGCAAAGACAGCTCGTCATGTTACTCGATCCATAGACAGCACAGGCTCGTGAGTGGATGTGAGTTGCTAAGGGCGTTTTTGACTCCTGCAGAAGACGAAACAGTCGCGCGATTCTGGTCATGACGATTAATATGCTACGGCATTGACGAACAAATGACTACGCGCTGGAGCAGACTTTCCCTCACGACCCATCGACAGTGAAGGAAGGAAGTCGTCGACTGACTTATCTGTCGCCAAAAGTCCAGTCGAGAGTGTAATACTCTTGACAGTGGAAGGAATGGGTGGGGTGGGGCTGCGCATGAAAGGAGAGCGTAGCTACTTGGCTTGCGTGGACACGACCTGCACAGCGTATCCTCTTCAGTGGTACAAGGCACTGGAAAGTAACCACTTGTCGTCGGCCCACGAGAGACTTTAATCGATCGGAACTGTTACGCCCCAGCGGCTCTGCACCACTAAAGCACAGGCGCGCGAAGGCAGCTCCATGTACAGAAAGATGGCGCTCCCGTCTTGCTGAGAGCGTCTACATGTAGGAAACAGTGCTCTGACAGCACGAACGCTCGTCATTCGAGCTTGAGGTTCCGGATCGGCCGCTACGAAGTTCATCACATGATCCAGAGCAATGCTGCTGGACGCTGGTACTGACAGTCAACGGCTGGCGGGTGATCCAGGAGCTAGTGACAGCCCCACGTACGTTCGTGCACAAGAGCGCTCGGCTTGTGTACGCGCGCGCGAATCTGATCCGACTCGGCGATATGACGGACCGGAAACAGATGCTACTGGAGCGACGACAGGCAGACATGTCCCTGCTCGATACTGTTTCGACGAGGACGTTGGACACGTGGTCGTCTCGCGTCGTCGAGCTGCCGTCCGTCCTCTTGACTGTGGTCTCGACATCTTGGCGAGAGGGACATACCACTATCTAGTTGTCTGCACGCGGTGCCGGTCTCTTTACGGCCTCCTGCTCCCAGAGGTGTATGTAGCAGGGCCAGACAGTGCGGCCTGTTTTCTTGCGCTTGCTTGACATGCCACTACTCCTCGGCTCACCTCACGTGTGCGTTAGTCGACACGACCAGAGGCTGATCCTCTGTATTGACACCCCAAGTCGCACGTGACATGCCCGAGTGCAACTAGACATGCAGCCGATTGACTGCTGCTGCTACTGTGCGCGGGATGGCACCAAAAGAGCGCTGGCGTCAAGAGAGCGTGTGCTATGTATGGATGTACGGGCCAAAGAGGCGTCGGACGACCATTAGTCGATCGATCGAGACATTGTTTGGTGTTGCTGTCCTTCGGAGCAGAGACCCGCCCGCCAGCTACGCTTTGGTACCCGTCGCTTTGGCATTGAGCCTGTCCATGCGCGTCGCGACTTAGCGTTCAGTGCTTTGGGTGGCGCTTTGTGGCAGGATCGCGTAACCCAATGTCAACGCCGTAAACAAACACTGCACTGCCGCTGGATACCCGGACGTGGACCGTAGAGGGGAGAGAGAGAGAGAGAGAGAGGGGGGGAGGGAACCCGTCTCTGTCAATGATAGCGAGCAGCTCGACGCAGATGGGACGGAAGCCCATCCCCAAGGAAGCCCACAACAGACAGGACACGACCGCCGCTTGCCTCAATCACATTGGGTAGTTGCTTCGTCTGTTCCAAGACACGACGTCGCCCCGTTTGTCGATTCGGAAAGCGGCAGATCGATGGCCCAACTCGCCCCAGTGCGTGTAGTGTATGTACGTGTGTGTGCGTGTGCGTGCGTATGTGTGTGGCTACTACCGGGCGGCGTGGAAAGCGCGCACGAGTGTAGACACAGTCGGGTCCATCGTCGTCATCTTTTTTATGACCTCGCGAGGCTTTCACGTGGACGAGGGAGGCGGTAGTTGGGATTGGAACGCGCGCGGCGGGAGGGGAACCGTAAGGACCGCGCGCGCGTTTGAAAATAAAAAAGATCCGACGTCAAAGGGATTCTCAGTGTAGATATGCAAACGCGACGAAGGGAGAGGCGAGGCAACGGGCCTTTCTCTTGAAGATAGCAGTAGAGCGCGCGCGTGTCCATCGGTTCAGAAAAACTATGCATACATTTGTGCACGCCATCACGAGGATTTGCTTCGGGCATCATCGCGACGATGATACAGCTGGAGGAAAAGTTTAGCACCCTCGAGTGAGCTATTGTTGACTGCAGAAAAGTCATGGCCAGCAGCGCAACTTCCTTTTGCAAGTGAGGGAGGGAGTCAATCAGGACGGAACAGGACTCTCTCTCTCGCCAGTGCAATAGCGCTTGATGTGAACGATGGATCGCGGCACATTTCCAGTGAAGGCCCCTCAGTGGGAATCTTGGCATCCGATGCGAGTGGATAATAGAAGCCATGGCGACCAGACGGCGGGACGCTTGGATGATATCCAGCGGAGGCTGGTCGCCACGACGCCCTTCTTCGTGCTGATTTCCCGCGACCAGCAGCTTCAAGTGCCGTACCGAGCAACGACTTGCCTCGATACTACCGCAGTCCACACGAAAGCGGCTCGCTTGCCCGACCGACGCCCGCACTGGGGCAACGTGTCGTGCAATGCCGGATGCTAATCACCACAAAGCTGGGAACAGGTGTCGCGCGGGCTTAGCTACACTGTGCGCGCCAGGACAGGGCACAGTCAGTCAGTCAGTCAGTTGCACGTCGAGTGGCCTTTCCCACGGCAGGAGCTTTCGCTGAATCGCTGCAATGGCGACCCTTGACGATCGACGACCGTCTGTGTCACGCCGTCCCACTCTCTATTCAGTAGTAGGAGCAGCGCCGCCGATCCAACTCTCGAGTCCACTCTGTAGTAGCGAGCAACACACGACAGTCGCTTTTTGCGCGGCCGACTTGTCTTGCACAAGGCAAGGCCGCCCAGAAGCGAGTGACTCGACTGCAGGAACCAGCTGGATGCCGCGCAACAAGCTGCCGTGACGGCACGGGGAAAACAGACCTCGGGGGCATGAACAACAAGAGGGCACCTGTCGTTGAATGCGTCAACGTGCGCGACGGGACAGCACTGCGGTCAAAGAAGGGAACGCAGGCAAAGTTCTTCAATCTATCAGCAGCCGCGCACGCACTCGGGCGGGTACGTCAGTGCCGACCACCTGCGCACGCAGACAGGGCGTTGTCCGGGCTGAAGACGGTCCTGTCTGTCGAGCTGACTAAACCACGTTAAAGACTCGCGTTGGACCGGGAGCTGCTTGCTACCAGACAGCAGCAGCAGCAGCAGCCGGGCAGGCAATCGAATGTTTTCAGAATGTAGCAAGTGTGCCCTTTCTGCCGCTGTAACAATGATACATCCATCCATCCATACAAACAGACAGACAGACAGCAATGCAGCAAAGCACGAGCACAAGCGAGCGAAGGCACGTTGCCCCGAGTCAAGACCCTTCATCCTATAGGACACTTCTGTCCTGTTGTTCCTTCTGCAAGCAGACAGACAGACAGACCGACAGACCGACATACATACACAGAGAAAGAGAGAGAGAGAGAGAGAGAGAGAGAGAGAGAGAGAGAGAGAGAGAGAGAGAGAGAGAGAGGGAGGAGGAGGAGGAGGAGGGAGGCACAAGCGCGACGATGGTGGGCGCCCGCCCCCACTGACACGTCCAACAGTTCCACCGATAGAGCGACTCTCGACCAGCAGATCGCTCGCTCGTGCACTCACTTCTCTTTTCCACCCCTCGACAGTAGGCGCGTCGCGCGTCCCCCGCCACTGCGCCGTCCGCCCCCGTCGGCTCCATCTCCAGCCACGCCCTCTCCCTTGCACCACCACTGCCCACACACAGCCGTCACCGCCACCGCCACCGCACAAAACATGGCCGTCGGCATGACGCTCAACCAGCTGTACGCCCCCCCGGCGTCGACGCCGTCCTGCGCGCCCGACGCTGCGCCTTTGTCGGTTACTGCCGCGACGCTGTCGCCACCGCCGCAGGGCCATAGCCCGCCCAGCGCCAGTCGACCTGAGGATTCCAAGCTCCACAGTAGTACGACGACGCCCATGGGCGCCATGCAGCAGCAGCAGCAGCAAATGGATCATCGGATCTATCAGATGCCGTATGCCCCAACGCCGTCGCCCTATGCGCTGCCGTACGCGTCGCATCCAGTCACTAGCACCACTTCAACTGCTGCTACTTCATGCCCCACGGGCCTCCTCTTCCACCCGCTGACGAAGCCCGGGCCCAGTACGTCCGAAGACTATGCCGCAGACCCACTGCCCTTTGAGTACAGCAGTCGCAAGTACGCGCCGGCCATGCGCGACGACGGCAACAGCCACAGCAGCAACAACAGCGCCACGTCGTCGGCCTTTACCGACTCGTACACGTCCCACGCCCTGTACGCCGCCAGTCCGTGTGCCACTCAACAACAGCCACAACAGCCACAGCGCGGAACGAGTCCCTATGGCCACCACGCGCACCACTACGCAGACGCTGGACGAGGCAACAGCTGCTACCCCCACCCGCACGCCGACATGGCCTCCCCACTGACCCCTCCGCGCCACTTTTCCCGCTCGTCGACCGCTCCGTCGCAGCTCTACAGCGCTATGCCGAGTGCTATTGGACTGCCGTCGCACGCGTTTCCCCCTCCGCCGCTGCTCGACGCCAGTGCTGCGACCATAACGAAAAAAGAAGTCGACGTGTTTGCACACCCGTCGCAGTCGGCTGTCTACAGCAACAGCAATAGCAGCAGCAATGGCAATAGCTCTTCACGAGGCGCAAGCGCTGCCGGCCCTGCGCAGGAAGCGATGATCAAAGTCAAGACGCCGCTCAAGCTCAAGTACTGGCGCAACGGCCGACGGAACTTGCAGTGCTTCCCGAGCTGCAAAGTCTTTGGCGACTACTCGGCCATTAAGATCGAAGACCTCAAGCAACACGACTTTATGTGGGGCAAGTGCCGCGGCAGCCTCGTGACGGAAGTCACGCTCAACAGCAACGTGCGCTTTGACGACGTCGTGCTGCTGGGCCGCGTGCACTCGCTCGAGAACATCCCCGTGGCCTTTGAAGAAGCCGTGATCCGCGAGTGTATGTTGGGCCGCACGATCGCGCGCGACGAGATGGAAGCGATGAAGGACCAGTGGATCATGGGCGAACGCCTGCCGGACTTTGTGCAGCAAGAGGGCCACGTCGCGTGCTTTGAGTTCAAGCCCAAGGTGTGGAAGTACACGGAGGACATGGCCCAGGGCAAGTGCAAGCGCCGCAACGTCAAGTACTACGTGCAGTTTGAAGCGTTCGTGCACGTGGGCAGTGCTGCTGCGGCAACGGCAACGGGAGGCGGTGACCGCCGGTACTACGCGTGCATTGGCTCGGGCATGTCGACGTCGTTCGAAGTCGGGTCCAGTCGAGTGCTCGCCCGTCAGAAGCGCAAGGCCGCTACGTGTGCGGCCGACTCGGTCGCTGGTATCCCCACGAGTTTGACGGCGTCGGACCTGATGCAGTCGCAACAGCTCTTGGCGCTCAATGGCGGGAACGCGCTCATGCACCACAACGTGATGACGGCGACGCCGCACTCGATGTACGCGCCGTCGAGCGCGTTCCAACCGCACCACGAGGGACAGGCGCGCAGCTTACCGCCGACGTTCCCGCACCCGCAGGTGATGATGCACCAGATGGCATCGCAGCCAGAGATCGTGCACTACTCCATGTCGTCGCAGCAACAGCAGCAGCAGCAACAGCAGCAGCAGCAACAGCAACAGCAGCAGCAACAACAGCAGCAGCAGCAGCAGCAACAGCAGCAGCAGCAACAGCAACAGCAGCAGCAACAACAGCAGCAGCTTTCGTACCGACAACAAGAGGCCTCGAGCCAATTCTCGGTCGGAGACAAGCGCAAGATGAGCAGCGAACGGCCGGCGTTCTTGACTGACCGCTCGGTCAAGATGCTTAAGGTCATGAGCGGCGTCCCGCAGTCCGTGCCGATCTAGAAACGCCGTCGCAGCGCAGCGCAGGGGCCTGTCTAGTTGTCGGTCGTCGTCGTCGTCGTCTTCTCTCGGTGCTCGTGTCGTTCCCACGAGTGGGTGCGCGTGCGAAGTGGGTGCTGTGCGTCGTCCACTACTCGTGCGCTCTGGAAGGAAAGAGCGCGCGAGACGACAGCATCTGCTTCACGACGACTCGATGTACTCGGCACGGAACGAGTGTCTTTGTCAGCACTGCGCAGCGTACACGGGCGCGCGCTCGTAAATGATAGATGGCCAGGGAAGCCACGGAAGATGAGGTCCGCATGGTCGTAGTCGTAGGAGGACGAGTGATGTCAAATAAAGTCTCGGTATTTATTGTGCAACAGCAACAGCTATAACAACAGCAACAGCTATAACAACAACAACAACAACAACAACGTCAACAACAACAACAACGAGACCACTGACCTCCTCGTCGCTCGCGTCTCGTCGTCGCGTTCGAGTCAAAGATCGCTCGCTCCCTCCTGCCAACCGCTCGGCCCATTTCGAGCCGCAACAGACCATGCGGACCTTCGCGTTCCTTCAACCGCTGCTGCTCTCTCTGCTGCTCGGCAGCGCGTCGGGGGCGGCGATTCGCGCGCTCGACGGCTCTGGTCGGCCCGTGGCCTGGTGGGCGGTGCTCAAGCTGCCGGCGCACGTCAGAGGCCCTGCAACGGACCCACCGCACGCGGTGCCGACGCCGTGCGACTGCCCCGTGCCCGACTGCCGCCACGTCCCGACCGACGGCTGGGCCGCACTCAAAGAGAGAGCGACGGGACTCTGTTACCTCTACGCGGACGCGCGGGACCCGACGTTCCGCTACTTTCGGGACATTGGCTACGAGTGTTTGGGTCAGGGGGGCGCCGACCCCGTGAGTCGGACGCTCCAGCAGCGCGACGCCGCGAGTCGGCCGTACTGGGCGCTGTTCAACGACCAGTTCAATGGCATTGCGGCCGCGTTCGCAGCAGCCGAAGCGGACGACGGCGCCGAGTCGCACGTGTGCGGAGGGGCCGACGCCTTCAATGCGCACGCGAAAGGGGCCGTCGTGTTCGCGCGGGACGCGAGTGGCGGCGTGTTCCTCCAGACGTCGACGCCCAACTTCCCCGACCCGACGCGGAACGACTCGTTCGTGCCCCTCGGCTGCCAGCGGGACAACAACGTGGCCTTTGCCCAGCACGTGGCGGCCTTCTCGCTCGACGATCGCGAGCTGACGACGCTCGGCGAGCACCTGCAGCTCGCGCGGCTGTGCTCGGGGAACGTTTTCCGGAACAAGTCGCTGCATGCGCTTCTGGGCAGCGCGACGCTGAACGAAGACGGCGTCGCGCACGCGAACACGAGTGCGGCCGCTTTCTATGGTGCGCTCCTGGATCCCCATCTGCCCGAGCGCGAGTCGATGAAGGCCGCGTTTCGACTCAAGTTGGCCCGAGGGACCGACGACGACGACGAGCGACCGGAGACGGTCCGTCGTGGGTTTGAGCCCCTTGCGGAAGATCAGACCCTCATGGGTTTAGTTGATGACGACGATGACAGAGCCGACAGAGAAGCAGGAGATGAGGACGAAGAAGTTTTGGTCCTTGTCAAGAGCCCTCGGGCTGTAGTGCCGCCCTGGGCACTGGTAGCGGAGCTGCTCGACTCGGACATCAGTGTCGCTTCGTGGTGGGACGGCAGCTACGGCATTCCGACCATTTGCGGTGGCGACGTCTTTGCCCATTCGCCCCACAGCTTTTGCCTGGACGACCCGCCAGCAGGTGTCGCGCTGGACGCCGACGGCTCTGCTCCCTACAACATTGAGAACCTCATGCAAGCGACGTACGTACGTACATCCATCCGCACAGTGTGTGGATGGGGCTCGAGGGATGGAAGTTCTTACTCGTTTGATCTACTGCTCACGGCAGGTGGCACCTGAGCGACGGCAGTGCGAATCTGACCTGGCAACTCGTTGGCGGTCGAGTCCCCGATGGCAATCACGGTAAGGAACACGACACAAGGCGGCCGAAGGTGCTCAGGCTGTTGCTAACGAGGGTGCGAGTTTGTCGGGTCTTTTTGCTAGCAAAATGGGGCCTAACGACGCCTCGATCCGGTATCGTGAACGCCTCGAACGCCTACGTGACGTTTGGGGACCTCAACATGGAGGGCTTTCCGTGCTCCAGGACATGCAGTGGCTCGCAAGCAGGTCGAGGCGGCAGCTTCTTCTCCCTCATGCGTCCGCGACTGCACGCGAGTTTAGCGCGCTCGATCGTCTCAGGTGCTTGTCCATGTACCTCTTCGTCTGCTGCTGTCACTGCAGTGCATCAAGACGCCAACGCAATGCCTGACGGATTTCTGCGGAACGACTCTTCGTTTCTGCTGTACGAAACACTACGCATGTGTCATCGCGGATGTGTCAAGAAGCTCGAGGCGCATCTGGAGGCGACCGAGTTGCCAGCATTGAGTGCGACTGCATCGTCCTTCTGGCTCAAGTAGGAGTCCGTGTGCTGCGCCGCCACTCGGACGAGAAGTTGACGAGGTCACGAGCTATTGAAGCCGACTGCTGCACATGGCAATGGTATCAGCTGACTCGTGACGGCAGTCGAAGGACTCTGTGGGAACACATGGGGCGAGATCAAGAGCTTTGGAGGCGCACGAGGTTCAACCGTATGGACCGAACGCCATTGAGAGGCTGAGCTCGATCGCAAGAGCGACTACGACCTAATTCAATGGGATGTTATGGAGGACACTGGAGAGGCATTGAGAGCTGAGGCAGTCGCAACCGACTGCTCGATCGACTCGCACGTCCACGTGAGCGGAAACAATAGCAACGATGTGGTCATGGGAACAGTCGCTGAATCGCATCGCATGTCCCGTTTCGCTGTCCTTGTGGTGAGGTGCCCAGCGCCATACAACACAATGTCAAGTGAACATGTAAGTGAGCGCTCGAGGGACTTTACCGCGAGAACGGCTTTCGGTGATTCAGTATTGCCACAAGTCGGACTGTGCTGGAACAACGACGGGACGCTCACTACCGGTACTGCTGAGCTCTTTCTGTCTGTAGCTGACATAATCACTTGGCCGCCGAGATGTAGAGCACTGGATATGGAAACGTGCCAGCGATTGGATCCATTTAGAAATCGAAACAGGACACAACAAACAAACATATAAAAAGCGCTTTATCAGACACGCACCATAGTATTGCGCACGCACGATCGACAGCGGGTAGTGGGCCCCCCCACCACACGCACCATTATTGCCTCGAATAAAGCAGTCTCCGTACTGGGCCTTGAGCTGGCCGTTCTGGTACTCCTGCGTCTGCTCCATCGCAATGTTCGTGAAGCCATCGAGACACGCCAAGACGCCCTTGTACTCCACGCCGTTATTCAGCTTGACGTCCACGGGGCGACCCAACACGCTCTTGAGAAAGTCCGACGGGGTCTTCTTACTCGTCGCCACTTGCGCCGTCTCGGTAGCCATGTTGCAAACTATCCAGATAAAAGCGAAATGAACACATCACGAAGTTACGGGTCACGCAGGCGTAGTTCCTTTTTCTTTTGCGAATCAAACGAGCAATGAAACAACCAGACAGTCGATCAAACAAACGGCCGTTCGTTCGTCCGTTTGTTTGTTTGTTTGTTTGTTTGTTTGTCTTTCGGTGTGTCAGCCGTTTGTTTCGAGTGTGTCGCTGTTGATTGGACAATACGCACCAGACGCGTTTTTTACGCCATGGCACAGGACCTGCAGCGCGAGTACCTTCGCGACGCGCGACGCAAAGCCTCAGCTGCTGAGTACTTTGATGCAGAAGAGAGTGGCGACGAGCAACAAGAAGCAGCAGCAGCAGCAGCAGATGCGACTTGTGGAGCTGTTGGCGCGCCGGACGACGATGAAGTGGATCCGCTGGACGCTTTCATGCAGGGAATCGACGCCCAAGTGACGCAACAACAGGCGGCGGCGCCCAAACAGGTGGCGGACAAGCCAAAGGTGCTACGGCACGAGGTCGACGACGCACACAGCAGTTACCTCGAAGAGTGCGCACGGGTTGGGCCTACTCCTGCTGTGGCAGCTGCTGTTTTGACCGCATTGGCGGTCGTTCCGCCGATGGTGTTGTTTTGAGCGTTTGATTGGGGGTTTCTGACGTTTGAAATGCGTGTTTATGGTTTTTATTGTTTTTTTGAGAGCATAGAGGGCGTCAAAGCCTCGCGTTGAGCTGAACGCTGGGAGTGGTGACTCGGACGAAGAAGTGTATGCTGCTGCTGCCCAAGTGGACAATGCAGACGGCAGTATGGGCCCTCTGGACACGAAGAAAGCGATGGAAGTGTTGACTCCGATCGACCACTCGTTGGTGCAGTACGAACCGTTCCGGAAAGCGTTTTATACGCCACATCGAGCCACAGCAGCTCTGAGTGAGCATCAAGTCGCAGGCATTCGGTCGGACTTGCGTGTGAAGGTGTACGGAGCTGCTGCGCCGGCTCCCGTGCGGTCGTTTATGCATCTCGGCCTCGATCGAAAGATGCTGCAGACGCTCATGCGACTCGGACTGGAAGCGCCAACGGCGATCCAGGCGCAAGCGTTTCCAGTGGCGCTGTCAGGGAGAGATTTGATTGGGATGGCCAAGACCGGGTCGGGGAAGACGTTGGCGTTCACGCTCCCGATGGTTCGGCACGTGATGGACCAACGAGAGCTTCAGAAAGGCGAAGGACCGATTGCAGTGGTGCTGGCACCCACGCGGGAACTGGCCCACCAAACGTACGTGCAAGCCAAGAAGTTTCTGGCCGTGTACGGGGCGTCGTGTGCAGCGATCTACGGTGGCGCTGGCAAGTGGGAACAGATTCTAGCGCTGAAGAAAGGTGTCGAAGTCGTGGTGGCGACGCCCGGGCGACTGATTGAAATGATACGAAAACGGACTGCTCCGATGGACCGCGTGACGTTTGTGGTTCTGGATGAAGCCGACCGCATGTTTGAAATGGGCTTTGAGCCTCAGCTGCGCTCGATCTTGGGGCAAATACGCCCCGACCGTCAAACACTCATGTTTTCCGCTACGTTTCGCCGAAGAATTGAGACGCTCGCGCTCGATGCGCTTACGGATCCAGTGAAGCTGATAGTTGGCCAGGTGGGTCAAGCCAACGAAGACGTTCGTCAGCTTGCTGTCGTGCTACCGGGACATGGGGCCAAGTGGCCGTGGCTGATGTCACGGATACGTAGTCTGGTTGACGAAGGTCGTTTGCTCATCTTTGCTGGGAACAAGGCTGGGTGCGAAGAGCTGGCAAAGAACTTGGCCGCGGTCTTTCCGGCAGCGCCTGCCCTCTGTTTACACGGTGACAAGACGCAATCGGAACGAGCACAGGCATTGGCAAAGTTCAAACGGGGCGAGTGTCGCGTGGTTGTTGCGACGGATGTCGCGGCGCGGGGGCTGGATGTCAAGGACGTGAAGAACGTGGTGAACTTTGACGTGGCCAAGACAATCGACACTCATGTGCATCGCATTGGCCGCACAGGACGCATGGGGCTAGAAGGGTTCGAACCTGGCACGGCATATACGCTGGTTACCCGCAACGAGGCACCGTTTGCGGCTCAACTCGTCTACAACATGGACGTTTCAGGACAAGCGGTATCACCGGAGCTACTTGCACTCGCCAAACAAGACGCGCGCTTTCGTCGAGGCGTGAATGCAGTTGGCGGGCAAAGGGCTTCTCCTGCGCAACAGCACGTTGGCAAAAGCACTGGAGCCGAAGCTCGTGCCTTTGACGTGGAAGACGCTGCCGAGCTGGAGCGCTGGAATGACGACCGACGGAAGAGCAAGCGCGACCAACGCAAAGGACTGGGCTTTGCAGACGATAAGAATGCCAAAGCCACAGGAAGACCAGTGGGCATGCGCGGATTCGTCAAGGCGTCGGTACCTGCCACTTCGCTGGCAACTGCGTTTCGCTCTGGTTTTGTCAAGTCGTCGGTACAAGTCGACGCCCAGCCACCGAGTATTGCACCTGTGAGCTCGCAGGCGCCACCTCCACCAGCACTTGGTATTGCACTGCAACTTGCAGTCCGACCAGCTGCTAATGACGAACGGCATACAGCTGCTGAGCCGCTGCACCACGAGCGACTTGCAGCAAGTGGTATACCAACGAACATACCCAATCAAGCGTCTCCACTGCTCGTGAATGCTGCAGTTGTGACAACCTCTGACGCAGACGAGAAAGCGCCGGATGGAGCAGGTGCACCTGAAAGTGGCACCCAAAGTGAAGCAGATCGAAACTCGAGCGCTCTCTCACTGCAACGCGTACGCAGGTCGCGATCAAGAAGTCGAGTGCGTCAACGCCGTCGAAGCAGTCGCAGCAGCTCCAGATCGGAAAGTCGCCATCGCCGTCGATCCCGTTCATACTCCTCGGAGAGGTCTCGAAGACGTCGACGCAGGTCACCTTCTGACGACCGCCGGCATCGTCGAAGCTACAGCTCCGGTCGAAGCAGTTGCAGTCGCAGCTCGAGTCGAAGTCGGGATGATGGACGTAAGCGCCACAGACGTGAACAGCATCGGTCGCGTGGTCGACCCCGTTCTCAAGAGCGTCGAGGGCGGTGAAGGAATCGGCAGCGTCCGCTGAACAAAAGAGTGAGAAGCTTCCGTCTTGTTCAAAGCTACACGCGTTAGAGCTGCTGCTGCTGATAACATTCCCGTTGCTGCTGCTTACACGACTACTACGAGGGGAATGGGCAGGACACGAGGAGAGGAGGAGGCAACAAACTAATAGCAAACTACATGATACTGAAGCGGCAGCAGCTGCAGTATGGGCAGGCGAATGGCGCGTGGATGCACCCCGTCACAGAGCGGACCATCTATTGTATGTCGACTCACGCCTGTGCCTCCGATGCAGCAGCGTCCTTCCCTGGAGCTGCCTCAACCGCTGCCTCGACCGCTGATCTGCACTAGGTGCTCCCTCCGAACTATTACCGTCCTCCACAGTCGGAGGTTCCGTCTCTGTGTCCGCTGTTGCACTCGACTCGGTCGTTGCAACAGCCTTCGCATCTGCCTCCACCGGTACCTCCGCTGTTGCCGCTTCTGTCGCTACGGGAGCGGCAGCAGCGGCAGCTTCGGCCAACCGCGAGGCTGCAATGGTCGCAGCCAGATCGGTCGTAGTTACAACTGCTGCTGCAGGCTCATCGTCTTCGAAATCGTCATTCTCCATACCGGGAATGGGCTCATACGGAATGTCCTCGAAAGTTCCCTCAAACTTGGCCCAACTGCCGCTGGACTCGCAGCTTGCCCACCTGTCGGCGCCGACACGATCTCCGCTATCCTTCGGGACGCTATCCTGCCGTGCGAGCTCTTCCTCATCTTCTTCCTCGCTACTGCTACTGTCATTCATGATTTCTGGCAGCATAGGTGTGTCAGAATCCTTTGCGTCAAAGTCCGTATCGAATCCATTGGGGTCAGAGCCAAAGCCCGAAGCGCCGAGCATCTCGACGAATTGTGCGTTCAGCAGCTCGTCGTTCTGGTTGAAGCTCATGCCTGAGTACGGATCCTCGCCTCCCTGAGTAACTGTTGCACCACCCAGAGGCAAGCGCTCACGCTCGTAAATGGGGGCAAGCACCTTGCTCGACAGTTCATCCCACTTCTTCCACGTGACTTCGTCCTCTTCGAACAGCTCGAGCACCGTGTCGGCATGCCGCATCTCATTCAACGACCCTTCGTCTTTTGCGCTGCCACGTACATCGTCTAGCATCGTCATCAGCGTGTTGCAAATTCGGTGAAGGTGACCCACATATCCGAGCGAAAAGCCCCTCGCAACTGCTGTAGCTTCACTGTTCTTCTCGTGCGCCTCGACAATGCGCGGCAGCAGACGCGCTTCCTTCACTAATCCTACCAGCAAATTGTGGCTACCACTTTCTAGGATGCCAATCACCATGCTTTCGACATCAGCGTGGAGCATGTTCACCAACTCGAATTTAAAGAACAGATCCAGGCAAATACCAATGGCGTGATGCTCGAGCAGCGCCGTGTCCACCTTCTGGTACTTCGACTGCATCAGCAGAACAACAAGCCCCACCATCTTCAATCGACGCAAGCCCAAACGCGGGACTTCCTGGTGGCGCTGGTTACGGATACTGCCAGCAACCGCTCCGTCTGCCTTGAGGATTGCACAAATTTGCGGCAAACGCTCAATGGTGCACATTACTGCGGGCGGTGCCTCGTCCGTGGCGCAGTACCGCGAGTTCGTGGCGCGTGATAGTAGAGCACTTAGCACAGAGATAGCACCTGTCATCGACGACACACACGAGGCGGCAGTATCGTCTGCAGGAACGGCCAGCGCAACTAGCTTCTCGGCTACTTCCTTTGTCTCCAAATGCTCCAACAGCGCAAACGAGACGGGTGTCGTCGAACTCGCAGGCGAGGCCGGATCCGTTCGTTGGGCACGCGTTCCGCATTGGATGATATCGACCAGCACTTCCGACGCGTGCTTGTGAGCGTCACTATCTGCTTTCGCGTCTGTCAACGTAGCCAGCAACAGATCCACCACCTTGGGTTCCAGCTGCCACGTCAACGTCTTGTCCTTGGACGCCGTGGGGGTGCCACTTGCGCTCAGTCCGTCCTCATCCTCGCCTCCGTACCACGAATTCGAGGGCGGGAACCCCATCGACATGCCTGGAAAGTCCATGCAGTCGTCCATGTAGTCACTATGGTCTGGCTGCAACAGACGCTTCAGCAGCTCTGAGATGGAAAAACTCGCCGCGTGACGGGCAAAGCCTGCCAGCAACTTGTCCGAGTTCTTGTTGAGCAGCGTCGTCATCTCGTGCGGTTTACGCACCATGAGCATGGTCACGATCTTCTCAAAGTACCCCGCAAGGCGAGGATCCAGCACTCCTTCAGGCTCGTACAGAAACTCAAACAGCGTCTCGACGATATTGCCCTCAGAGGCCGTCACGAGCGTCTCGGTGATGCTCGAAATGTCACAGCAAATGACTTCGCACGCCATGTACGGGTACTTGAGCGTCCGCAAGTCGTCCGACTTGTCCTCGGGCACACACACGACGTACTCGACAAGTCGCTGGACAATCAGTTCCTGCGAGAGGCTGCACAAAAGCGTCCACAAAAGCGTCACACAAAAGACACAAAAGACACACACACAAAAGAGACACAAAAGCACAAACCACAAACAAGAAAGCAACAAACCACACCAGCACAAACAGGTCGCGGTTAGGGGTCGTGGTTTCCTCTACTAAATCAGTAGCGTCGAGTCGGGTGGCGTGGACCACCCGGCGCCGCCACAACAACGAGCCGTACAACTCAATGAGCTTCGTGTTGCGCGTCTTGACCTCCTGCACGAGCTCGTCCTCCTGCAGCACCTGCTCCAGCGTAAAGTCGTCGCGCTCGAGCAGGTCGTTCAGCGGACTCGACACGTTGAAGAGCGACGAGCCCTGCGCCCACACGCTGTTGCTGCTGCTGCTGCTGCTGCCGTCGTCGGCCATAGCCGAGAAGAGCGACATGGGGCGGCTCGTAATGGTCGCGCTCTCGCTGCTGATTGGTAAATAAAAACACCCACCCACTCGCCCCCCTCTCTCCCGCTCACTCACTCACTCGCTCAGTCACTCAGTCACTCGGTCGGTCGGTCGGTCGGTCGGTCGGTCTGTCTGCTGGAGAGAGAGCGAGCGAGAAAAGACACGGGCGGTGCGGCTGCATACTGAGGCCGAGGTACTGGGGTTGTTCGGGGGTCGGTGGCTCGTTTCTGTGACAACGCTGGCGCGGGATGGGACTTGCGGTTGTGCAATACGACACGTCAATGACGGCCGACTTATGTGCAGCGAGGTGCGCTGCGACGCACTCGGCCGCAAACGCTAGGGATAGGGCAAGGGAGGCGCGCTGATTGGCAGCTGTCTCGTCGCGAGGTCTCTATCCCACCCACCCACTCATCCGCGACCGACGGGATGGGACACTGGATGCCGGCCATGGACTGGTTTAGATGTAGCCACTACGTACGTCTCTTTTGGCCCGTGATGTTCCCGTATAGAGAGAGACGCGCGTGAAGGGCACTACTGCAAATTGGTGCCAAGTGACTCGGACTTGAACGCTACCGATGGTCGAAGCGCTTGTCGCCGCTGAATATTTACAGTCGGAAGGGCGAGAGCAGCCACTACTATCTTAGGTCCCAATCTTTCAGGCGTAACGGCTCTATTTTTTGGGATATGGGTTGTTGATCAGCTGCATGTCTACCGACCTGCTCGAAGCAGTCAGGGAATCGATACAGCATTGAATAGGACGGCCGTGAACGACGTCGATGCTGTCGGTCGATGCTGTCGGTCGATGCTGCTCGAGCATGTCGGGTGCCTCAAGCTATACGCGCTCGTGCCATGTGCGAAAAGTTGAAGTGCATGACGTAGGCTGTTGATCTTCTCGGTTGTTACAAACCTTTTTGCGATGGATGCCGCCGCATTTCCAATGCGCTTACTGTCTTTCTCTTCGTTCTCTGCCTCATGAGCCTCTTTCCGATTCTCGCTTTTGGGTTAGCTCCGGCCGAGCACTCGCATCCTCTACTTCGTGATCAAGAAGCGCCAAATCGAATGGGATTCCACACACGCAGCTGTTTGAGCTTAGCTCAGCTTATCGTCCACCTCCTCCCTCTCCCTCGAACCATTCCCATTTCTTGCCATCTACGTATCAGATGTAGAGACAGGAGGCATAGCAAACATGTAGGTGCGATCGGAGCAATGGACACTGGCGAAGGTGGACGAGATCTCGGTCCAGGCAGCAAAAAACCCGACTAGCGCATGATCATGAACCCGTCACATTTGCAGACCCTGTTGACCTTCCTATGCTCATATTGCGATCGATCCTATGCTGCAGATGGCAAACAACAGTAGTGCTGCTGCAACGTCAAGATGATGCTGGTAACCACAACTGGCCGGACCCCCGCCGTTATGTGTGGCAACGCACGATAGCTGGACGTTGACAAGCTTCAGGTTGTTTAGGATATGCGGCCGAACAGTGTCATGAAACGAAGACACTGTCGATCCAGTGCATACCTTCTGCCTTCACGAAGGCCAAAGCACATGGCGATTGGTGCACACGGTGTGCCATTTGATCCATTGATCTGCACCGATGGCAGCAAAACAACTCCTAGCAATCCGATGAGTATTCATGCGATTCTTGACCGCGTCTTGACCGCGTCTTGACCGCGTCTTGACATGGCTGTCGTCTGAGTCTATTAATTATCGGAGGGCGCGCGGCAATGAGGTACAAAACAGTCGGCCACGATATCAGAAGTGACCAACGTCTGCTCTGTCCTGCAGCACCCACCGTGTTTTGCAACTTTTTGGCGCACACGACCGACCGTATAATGGCATTTACGTTCTAACGCACTGTTTCGTGTACTATTTCGTGGGCGGCCGTCACGCCATCGCCACCCGCCGCGCGCACTCGGGACTTGCTGCCCCCGCCATGTACGCGTCCAAGTTCAGCTTCAAAGGCGCACAAACGCGGTTCAACCTGCTGCTGCTCGAAGACGGCGAGTTCTTCCTCGATGTACGTCGTCGTCTCGGTGTCGATGCAGCGTGTGCGTCTGTGTTTGGCCATGCGGTCGAGTGTATTCTTACTCGGGGGTATTCTCGATGATATTATCTGTCTGTCTGGCGGTGTTTGTCGGTATTTGTTGTTCTTATTGCGATTGTTTCCAGGATTTTAGTGTCTATCGGTTCTTGGACCCTAACCCGGATACACATCGGTACCGTAACCTGTCGGACCTGCGTTCATACCGTGTGTTTCTACCTGATGGGTTGACGTTGTTTCGATGGTGCAGGAAGGTGCAGGGGCGGCTCAAGTTGTGCACGCGCGGCTTTTTCTTCGAGCCTCAGGACACGAATGTACCCATTTTGAGGTTTTTCTTCCGCGATATGCGCGACATGCCCGTCGCCGAGCTCCACGACCATCCAGAAGCAGACGACTGTGCTATTTTTCTGGCGTTCAAGGTGTCGTCAGTACTGCAGATGAAGGAACGAGGCGTGGACCACCCGTACGTGCAGAAAGAGACTGGCACGAGTGCTGGCGTGCCCGAGAAGTACATGTTCTCGCTACTGCATTCCACGATCAAGGAGCTGTTGAAAAGTGTGGCACCCATTTGGCAACTTGCGCACAAGGACAGTGTGATGAACAAGGTGGACGAAGAAGTGCTGCTCGAGCCGGTGTTGCGGCCACGTCAGACGGATCAGTTTGATTCGAGTTTGTTGGTCGATTTTCGAGAACGACCGTTGCAGACAGAGGGAAAGTTGGTGGACCGTATTGTGCCGCTGCTCAAGTACCCGGGCTGTCTCATGCTAACGAACCAACGACTGTATTTCCAGCCAGCACAAGTGAACAATGTAGGCGATCCTGTGCTCAATTGGGCGTACAACACGATCGAGTACTTGTACAAGCGACGACATATGCTCAAGCAAACAGGGTTGGAAATCTTTTTGCGCAATGGCGAAAGCTTCTTTTTCAGCTTCCGAAACCATCACGATCGCAATGAAGTGTATGATATGATGGTGAGCCAGCCGGACCTAAAACATCTGCAGCAGACAGAGCTGGAATCGATGTTGCGGAAGTGGCAGCAGCGCGAGGTATCGAACTACGACTACCTGTTGTATCTAAACAATGCCGCTGGTCGCACGAAGAACGACCTTACGCAGTATCCCGTGTTTCCATGGGTCTTGAGCGACTACGAGAGCTCGTCGATCGACTTGTCGGACCCAGCTGTATACCGCGATCTTTCGAAGCCTGTCGGTGCGCTGAACGAAGAACGCCTGGAGTTCTACAAAGCGCGGTATGAAGCAATGCCGCACGGCATGGAAGATGAGGGATTGCCTCCGCCGTTTTTGTATGGAACCCACTACTCCACTCCCGGATACGTGTTGTATTATTTCGTGCGCATGGCCCCTGGGTATATGCTTTGTCTCCAAAACGGCAAGTTTGACGCCCCGGACCGGCTGTTCCAAAGCATTCCCAGCACTTGGAGCAGTTGCAACACGAATCATGCTGATTTGAAGGAGCTCATTCCAGCCTTCTTTGACGACTCGGTGCCGCCGACGGAATGGCTTTGCAATGGGAGAAATCTTGATCTTGGGACGACGCAAAAGCTGACACGGGTGAACTGACTGGCTCATCATGCATCTCTTTGTGGTTGTGATCCAGCAAGTATGCTGACTTTGTGCGATTCTCGTTTAGGTTGGGGATGTCGAGCTTCCCGCGTGGGCATCCAGTCCATCCGAGTTCATCCGTATAAACCGAGAAGCGCTGGAAAGCGAGCACGTGTCTGAGCACCTTCACGAATGGATCGATCTGATTTTTGGCTGTAAACAACGAGGAGAGGCCGCGGTTGAGGCAAACAACTGTAAGTGAGCGCTTATCGACACGAGCATGATCGTGTGCATTGCCGGTGTAGTTGGAACGTCTACTAATCGCAGCTCGGTCATAGTATTTTACTACCTGTCATATGAAGGCTCGGTGGATCTCGAGACGATAACGGATCCCGTGGAAAAGTGCTCACTCGAAGCGCAGATCCAGGAGTTTGGACAGACGCCGAAAGTTCTGTTTGCTGGAGCTCATCCATCGCGAAACGATGTCGGCAAAGCAGTGGACATTGCAACGCTTGATTTGGTGCCGCCCTTGCAAAAGATTGATGAACCGGCGAACCGAAGCAACGTGTTGTCATCAGCAACGGATAGAACCGACAAGTGTAGTAAAGACGATAGTGAAGCCGACCAATTTGGCGAAAGCGAAGAGGCGGAAAACGCAATGACAGCGAACCGACGGAGTATGTTCGCATTCAGGTCCCGCTCGTTTGGCGCAGTGCCTAAGCAGGCCCAACGGTTTGTAGGAGAGCTTACAGCGCAGATTCGCCGTCGAATAAGCATTGAGTCGCCTAAGCGCTGGAATTGGACATTTGGCGCAGAAGGCGATTGTTCGTCATGGGTGCCGTCGGCACACTACATGCTTCATGCTGGGTAAGCCGAACGCCTCAATCGTTTATCATGTCTCGACTGGTCTAACGTTTTTTTTCCTTTCCGAATCGCAGCGAGGTCACTTCTCTGGTCCTAGGAAAAGATGGACGAGCACTTTTCTCCACGTCGAAAGACTCGACGTTCAAAGTCTCTGCGACTCTGGATGGCACATTGCGGCGTAACCTGTCCTGCAATTTGGCCTTGTCATGCTGTGATGTAGCGCCGGACGAAAAGTATGTTTTCGTTGGATCGTGGGACAGCTGCATTTATATGTACTCCATGGACGTGGGACGTGTCGTTGACCAGATCACAGCACACGATGACGGCGTATCGGCTCTTTGCGTATTCGAAGACCGCTTACTCTCCGGTTCCTGGGATGGCTCGATCAAGATGTGGCACTATACACCGAAAGGAATTGCACGAGAGCCCTTGTTGACGTTCATGGAGTGTGAAGACTCGGTCGTGTGTCTATGCGTAAGCATGAATGGGTGCACGGGAGCTGCCGCAACAAGGAATGGTGAGTGTGCTGAGTCGAGTTTTTCCTGCATGGTATGGATGCCCGCCCTCATGCGCTTTTTGTGCTATGGTAGGGATCGTATATCTTATCGACCTGCGCACTTGCGAGCTCATGCGTAAATTCTTCGCAAGCTCGACACAGCGCACGGAGATCTGCGGGCTGACGTTTTGCGGTGGGGGGCCAACTCTTGCGTGCGTAAGCGTGTCAAATGAGCTCTGTGTTTTCCAGATGGATGGCACGCGAATGGTGACCATCAACGTTGACTCTGATGGACCCGTCCGGTATGTACCTGCGTGTATTGTGCTCTCCCTGACGCCATCGGTCGACATGGCATTCGTTGACTCCATTGCGTGTGTATTGCAGGTGCTTTGACTCGGACGGCGAATATGCAGTCGGGGGGACGTCCACGGGCACGCTGCTGTTCTGGAAGCTCGATGAACCGACTGGCCATGAACAGATTTTCGAACTTCCAGGCGCACACGCTCATGGCGTGTCAGCACTGACCGTCAGCGCAAACGCTTCCACGATCGTGTCTGCATCTAGCGACGGAGAAATCCGGATCTGGCAATTGCGTCGGAAGTCTGTTTCTCGTGGCCGTCTCACAGCCTTCTTTTGAATCATGCATAGGTCAGGTGAGTCGACGCTGAAGATGTACCAAGCGCGTAAGAGGTGTACGAATGCCACGTATCTGTTTAGAATGGTACCCACATGTTGCTGATCGTCAGTCGGGCTGCGTGCATTCAACGTGGTCAACGCACTTCGGGATAGCGCCCACCTAAACTTCCTGCGTGATGCTGTATTGCTGCAACGGCGCAAAGGCCCCGCTCCCACGGTCTCTATCGACCAGGCACTTCAAGCCATTACAATCTGTAGCTGCTGCCTTACTTGCAACGTGCTTCACTTGCAAATCGATGTCGCCCGAGTCGCAGCACAACCAGACGCACTTGTATCAACCAACCCCACCAACGGCATGCAACTGCATCCTCCTCACACACACACGAGCGATGCGTCAACAAGAACAAACTGTCGCTCTCGCTCCTTCGCTTCCACTGGATACTAGCAGGTCCCAGAGTCGACTAGTCCTCGTTGTACTCGTCACCCATAGCTTCTTCGATCATACCCTTGAGCTCCAGTCTACAGACAGACAGACAGACAGACACATGCAGACCGTCACGACCGGTGCAACAACTCCATTAGTATCAACAAAGTCCACCGCTACCACTGCTCGCAACCAGATGCCCCACCGAATCTCCGACACGTCGTCTCCCTGCAGCACGTCCTTGACAAAGTGCGCCTCCACCCGCATCTGCACCATCTCCAGCGCTCCTCGCAGCACGCCACACAGCACGTTCGAGTACCACAGCACGCCATAAGCACTCGGAGGCAGCTCGACAAATTCTGCGCCCACGATCCAAAAGTAGTCAAACGATGCGACCCAAAATAAGCGCGTAACCCCAACGTAACCCTCCGTACCAGTCAGCGGGTTCTCGTACAGCACGAGACTACACGCGTCGCCCTCTGCGTTCCACTGCGACACGTCGACGTTGATGCCCAGGAACATCTTAAACGCCACTTTGGCCACCACTTCGGCCGTCTCCTTGAAGTTCTGGCAGTTGGCCACGCCCGACTTGGCCAGGAACTCGTCGACGAGCCTCACGCCGATGTTGTACCCCCTGTCCGCATGATTATTCCGTATGAGAGGGTTGCTCCATCAACCTGTGTGCGTACACTTTTTGTGATTTTGTACGTACATTTTATCGAGTTGCTGGTTCACAACCTTGAGGTCCTCGAAGTCCTTCATCAGTTGGGTCACGAGCGAGCCGTAGGTCAGTGCAAAGAGCTCGCCATTCTACGAGAGAAGAGGAAACAAAAGCGCAGCTGAGCGACGAGCAGGTGATGACGATATGTGTGAGGAGGAGGAGGAGGAGGAGAGTGCACGCACGACTTTGGGGACTTTGCTCCAGGCGGTGTCGCCCAAGCGCTGGTGTGGACGCGGCGTTGACATCTGTACGATCGATCGGCGGCGATGAAGCAGAGTATGTACGACGGGTCGGGGCGATGCGTAAAAACGATTGCTGACTTTGCTTCCGTACTTGCGTTTGTAGGTAGTTGTGTAATTTACTTTTGACTCATTTCCACGGGATGATTTATTTATATTCTTTGTTGCGTAATGTTGCTGGGAACGTTGCTCGCGACCGTGTGTCTCGAACAGCCTTTTGTGTGCTTGCACAGACCAGCAGCATTTCTAACGCTTGCAATGTTTACAGCTGACCTTCCTCGCCAAAAATGAGAGGGGACCATAGCCGATGCCTTTTTCACGCTTCAGCGATTGGCGAACAAGCTTGTGGCGGCAGAAAAGGTGATGAAAAAGTATCCATGACTCTTGTCGGGAACAAGAGAAGTCCTCGATCTCTTGCACTGTACTTCGTAGCGCTCGATGCTGTAGCGTCATGATGCCCTTCTTGACCATTTGTAGTCGCGACAATACCAATTGGCCAACGATGTTACTTTGCCACGCGACATCTGTATTGCCGCGTAACAAAGTAACATTGTTGGCCGATCATTGCTGTTGAAAACAAATCAGTTGCAATGACATGAGTGTCCGATACTCTGTAAGTGCTCGCATGACTGTCGTCGTATGGAAGCCGTTTACCTTGAAACCTTCGGAGGTAAAGGTCAGCTGCTTGCTTCGGACTCCCCCTGTCTACAGCAGCAGAAGCCACAACTGCTTGGCGAATGTTGCGCTGTCAAGAATCTGCTCTTAGCTTTGGTTTGACCGCAAACGACTAAGCCCGGGTCGAGGCCTTATGGGTGTACCGCCTGTCCGATATGCATATTCTACTCGAATGCTTTTCCGACACATCTCCCTCCTTTCGACACATATCTATGTCTACTCACGCTCTTTAGCAGCACAATCTTTCGTTCATTCGACTTCGCTTCGTCCCCTCGTCGTCGTATCCCAACAAAACGTATCCCGTGTTCTATGACTCACGATCTTCGGTCTCCACCAGTCTTGGACCGACTTCTTTCTTTACTTACCACGTCGACTTATTGACATTGTAAAATACGTAGGTGACCTCCTCACATGTAGCCATGTTCGAATGTGTCTGCTATTCTGACGGTTTGCTATCTCTCTGCATTTTGACAGAGACCATGGAGGCCATCGTGTCGCAAATGCAGCGCGACTTGCGCGCCAAGTACAGCCACGTCATGGTCAAGTGGTACGAGGCGGTAGAATGGACCGAGCCGCTGATCGTGGGGCTGCTCTGCTTCCATGTCGCGCTCTTTGCCGCACTGTGGCTGACGCGCAAGCGGCTGTCCGTGCAATGTGTGCTCTTTGCGGTCGTTATCGCGCTCCTGCTGATCACAGAGGCGCTCAACAAGTGGGCGAGGACGCACTGGCGTCTTGTCGCTTCCCAGCGATATTTTGACGAGCAGGGTGTCTTTATGGGCATTTTCTACGCTGGGCCACTGCTCGTCGCAGGGTTTTTCCAACTGGTTTGTCAACAACAACAACAACAACGTCAACAATGGAATGTGGTACTCATCTCAAGGTGTTTTGTTCTGTACCTCGTTATTGTTGTTGTTGTTGTTGTTGTTGTTGCTATAGATGCTGAGTATGAAGCAGATGGTCGACATGGTCGTGATTGTCAAGCGAGTAGAACATCGACAACAGCTCAAGGCCAAGAAAGATCTATAAAGAGACGAAAACTACGTGGCTGCTGCCCGAGTACTTACTGCAACACGTTTTTCTTGAGCACGGACTGGTGCTATCGGACTGTCTTTATTCCAACTCTTGCACGGGGTACTCCTTCATCCATAGGTCGTGAATGAACTCGTACAGTTCATCGGACACGGACACTTTGTACGGCGTCGGGTTGAGCGACCTGATCACGTCCTCGCGGATCAGCTCGAACTGCTCCGTAACGTACTGACGACGGGCCTCTAGAGTGGGCAGCTCACCGACGATACCTCCGTTGGGACCGTCCCAGTACAGACTGTGCAACGAGATGACTTGAGATGGCGTCACGTACGCGCGTCGGAGCTCATCGAACGGGTTCCGACACAGCATCTTCCTCCCAACTTGCGGCGGTTGCTCGTTGACGCCGGTCATCAGGTCCAGCAGCGGCTTGCCGTTTGCGCCAATCAGGCGGTAAGCTTCTTTGCGTCCAGGGATCGTCACCTTGCTAACATCCTGGGAAAGCTTGATGCGCGGCTCGTTGTTGATCTCCACTAGCTTGTACACCATGCCGAGCGCCGGTTGAGCCTGGCACGTGACGAGGTGTGTTCCGATCCCATACGAGTCGATCTCGTGGCGCTGTTCGTTCAGTGAATTGAGCACTGCTTCATTAATGTCGTTGCTAGCAGTGATGTTCAGGTCCTTGAAGTAGTCGATGTCGTACAGCTCGCTTGCAGCAACAAACGCTTCACGACAGCGCTTCGAGAGATAGGATAGATCGCCGCTGTCCAGACGGATACCAACTGGATGGTGGCCGAGCTCGTGTAGTGCTAGTGCGACGCAAATGAAGTTTGGCACGCCGGACTGTAGGTACACACAAAGAAATGTCAAGAGAGAATGTGCAATGACCACAAGACGGTTTAGAACGCACCGACAGCGTGTCGTAAGTGTCAACGAGAGCCAGGAACGCGTCGGGGAATGCAATCGCATACGAGATGAACGCAGCGAGCTCTCCCTAGCAACAAAAGAGCAACAGCAAAAGTGGGAATTGTCAGAAGCACGACTAGACCTCCATCTCCATCAGCGTTCACTCACATCGTTGGTCTGTGTATGGCGGAGCTCCGTGCGGTACTTGAGCACCACGTCTAGGAAGTTCTTCCCACTCAACGCCGTGACCTTGACGTCCTCGAGCGTCGTGTGCGCCTGCACAAAGGCGTGTGCATGGGTGCCCATGACGGGGATGTTGTGGAGCTTGCCCGCCAGCACGTTGCTCGTGCCTGTAAAGCCAGCCATGTACGAGTACCGCGAGGCGCTCAGACCGCCATCTGGACCCTGTGCACGTCGCAGTCCAAACTCGAGCAGCTTCTTGTCGGCTCCTGCTGCTTTCTTGAACCGCGTGGCATTGGTCGTGATGAGACTGGCAAAGTTGAGCAAGTTGAGCAGCGGCGTCTCGAGCAGCTGTCCTACAGCCAGCCCTCCTTCGATGCGGACCAAGGGGATGCGCGGAAACACAATCGAGCCTTCCTTCACAGCGTACACCTTGACACTGGTGCAGTCGAGCGTTGCGAGCCAGTGGAAGAAGCCGTCTTCAGCGTGGGGCAGCACCTCGCGGAGGTAGCCAATGTCGCTCGGCGTGAAGGCAAACGTGTTGATCATCGCGAGCGCTTCTTCGAGGCCGGCAAACACAGTGTACTCGCCGTGGAAGGGGTTCTTGCGGAAGAAGAGGTCGAACACGGCGTGGTCATTGTGGCGACCGACTTTCCAGTACGCGTAGACCCTGTGGGCATCAAGTGGAGGGAACAAGGCGACGTTAGTCAGACGACCACGACGCACTGCACGAGGTACTGCCTGGTACAAGTCAAGAGCGATCGGTCGATTGATCGAGACAGATGGCTACAGATAGATCGACATAGATGGCTACAGATACATCCATAGATACATGGCTACAGATACATCACTACAGATAGGAACATACATGGCTACAGATACATCCATCGATGGCTACAGATACATCCATCGATGGCTACAGATAGGTACATAGGTGGCTACAGATGGATCGATAGAGTGTGTACATGGTGATTTGGTAGAGGTCCGTGAGCATGGGGCCAACCAGTGAGTTCGTGGGCGCGAGGCCGTTGGCGGCGTTCATTGTCTCGGGCGCGAGGGACGGCGACGTGTTCGTAGCTGAATGAAGGGACCGATAACGCGGTAAGAGAGAGCGAGAGAGCGAGAGAGAGAGAGAGAATCGGACCGGCAGGCGCGACAGGTTGCGATAAGTTCGAGCCAATCGACGCGTTGATGGGTCGTATCTTGCACGGAAGATGGGTACGAACGCGGACGGGACGTGATTGGGTGAGCGCGCGCGTGCGCACGACTTGGACGATTCTGTCGTCTGGAAGACGGTGCAGATGCTGCGCGCGTGTCGCATGCTGATGGACCACGTACGCTTTTGGAAGGGGCTGCACAGGTGCAGAGCAGACGTGTGAAACCGCACACAGTGCGTGCAACAGATCGTCTCCACCAGCAGTCACTAGACGTCCCTTAACAGACGTGACCTTTTTGCCCGACTGAAGGAGCAGTTGGTTTTCTTCTTCGCCTGTTCGCACTGAGGTGGGCATAACGTGACGGTGCCACTTTGACAGGCGACAAAGCGGTGGCACAGCAGCAGTGCACTCCTCGAGCGTTGCAACGAGGACAAACCCCTTCTGCAGATCCTGCGTATCGAAGCAATTTGGTGCATACCTGCGTAGTTGCCTGGTCCAGAGAGCCGCGAGCGGCGGTAGCATTCATCATTTCGTGTCGTGGGTCGCGACGTCGAGCACAGGAAACTTCGCTCGGCGACCTGACCGCTCAGTAGCTCTTTCTGATCAAGTGATGACAAGGCACTTGCACTTGTGCAAGAGGCACATGCGATGCAGGTTCCACTGTACCATCTTCGCGGGAACTACCGTGGGAACACAGCAAAGCCTCACTACGAGACGATGTGTATCGTTCGTTTGAGCCGTTGCTCGACTGCAAAGTCCTGCGATGATGATGATGACGATGCACTTTGGTCGCATATAATATCAAGCAAATGTGTCGTGCTGCGCTCCACCGGTAGTACGCGTGCCGTAGTTACGACATATATTTGTACGCGGTGAAGCGACCAGCACGTTCATTGCGTGGGCCTACAGACGGGAGCACTTTTTTTCTCAGCATCTTTGTCGGCATTGGCATTGCGGTACGTTTCAGCGATGTAGAAAAGGGCGCGCAACGATCTCCTGCTTTGACTCCACACCACAAAGCGTTGGGCTGAGTTCGATTCCTTTGCATTGTGCTGTATCGCATGAGCGAAGCAGGAAGTATGTTGTAGCCGTTGAGTTTGCGGCTGGAGAAGGCAGGACAGAAGTTGAGCGATCAATCGAGAGGCAGCGCACGCTGGACAAGTAAATGGCTTCCGTAGTCTCGTCGGCCCAAACGTACAGCGGCCTCGATGCAAGACAATGAATGTCTCACGTGTTGGTGGTGCTCTTTCCTCGCGACTTTCATATGTGACTCGTCAAAGCGGACAGCGCAATGGCGGAAAAGCCAGCAGCAACAAGTGTCGATTCGTGACGCGGTCTGTAGTTTGATTTCTTACCTCGAAACCGTGCGAGTGGTGACACACGTCAAATGTGTTCACTCCCTTGCATTGCGATCCACCGTACAAAGGTATGTTATCGTCAGTGTCCCCCAGCACGCATTGTCGTTACAAAGTGTCGTAGGCGGTAAACAACACCATTTCGCGGATCTGGGTACTCGCTTCGCTAGATGTCAAATTGCACACTCTGCCTGACCAGTGTCGTTCCCACTGCTTGGCTTGGACAACGATCGTGCACGACATGTTTCCCGCAAGCGTGCTGGATAGAACTCCCTCACGACGATCTGACTGAATCCTAGTTACAGCTCGAGGTTTTGCATGCAATAGTGCGAAACCAGCTCAGCCATGCTTGCCTTGCCACTCCAGTTTGTTCAGGTACATGTTGTACCCCATTGTACTCGACGATGAATGGTAAGATGGCAGCAGTTGAATTGTGCGTCGACCACGAGAGGATGCTGTTGAGCTTGTGAGTCGCGCACAACGAGGGACCTTTGCCATATAAGCTCACATACTGTGCTGCCGTTGCTGCTTCGGTTTAGCACATGCTGCGCTGCGCATAAGATGGTCAATCTGCAAAGCCCTTTGCCATGTCGACGCCTTGGCAGCACTGCGTGTGACGTTCGCCGACGTCTGCTAACAAAGTACGACAGGCTATGTCGACAAGTCGGCGGTGTTTCAGCGTCAATCGAGAAGGTTGTTATTGCAATAGTGGTCCATACTCCTCCTCGAGGGACTTGCCGGACACGGTCTTGCCTCGAAGCATCATCAACAGTTGCTCACCGAATGCAAACCCCCTCTGCTTTTCTCGTCTGAACACAAGAAGATTCGCACTAATCAGTTAGTTGCCCTGACGCTACATTCGGTGACAACAGTACGAACCTGATGTCGGCCTCCAAGCTTTCAAGCTCACCCTTCTTCGTCGCAAAGACACTGCTGTCGTTCCCGATCGTTTCTTCTGGAGCAGAGAGAACCGTTACCTCGTGGTTGCGCAGTTTTTCTGGTACATGGGACAGCGGAGGGTCCAAGAGATTGTGCGGATCGACGCTGCCATACCAACTACGCCAGTGAGACTGCGTCAAGAGTGACCCCAAAAAGGCGTTCTTCTTCGTTATCGACGCCCTTCTCTTGAACGACGCTTTGTCAACTCCATTTATGATGACAAGACCACCGGTCGAAGAAACTTCGTCGCTACTACTGCAGCTGTCGTCGTCCGCATCGTCGTCCGAGAAGTGAACTTGTTTCACGAAATTTGCACAACCGTTGGATAGAAACCAAGAGCTCAATGGCGTAGCCGATAGTGTTCGCGACACGGACGATACATCGCGAGCTGGCGGGACCAGACCAAATGACGCGCCCCAAGCATTTCGAGGACGTGGCGCCAAGCTGACGGTCGGCTGCACGGCTTGTGCAGAGTAAGCATTGCCAATGCGACTCCTTGTTTTTGGTTCCATACTCCTCGCGCCTTGCAAATTCACCGGAATGTCCATGACAACGCCCGTATCCGTAGCTTTCACGTTGCTTTCGATACTTGCTGCAGCAGATTTGGCGCCAACTTGTCCGTCTGTGCTCAATGTCGTGACAGAGACGTCCTCTTTTGTCGTGAGTAGCCGTTCTGACTCGTTGGCAAAAGGTGAGAGATCTTTCGACGACATCGCCTGAATCTGCACCGACGAACGCTCAGACGGCCTTAGTGGCATCGAGTCGGTCAATCGTTGAGTGGATGATGCCGAAGGACGACATGGATTGCTGGATTCGGTCACGCCAAGTCTTACTACCGCAGATCGTAAGGTAGGCGTGTCTGCGCTTACTGACGATTCTGGTTCATCTTCTTCGCCGCTTTTCGCCAACGCATGAGGTTTCTCGGTATTGGCTGCAGTACCTGCTGCTTCTGGTCCGCGACGATTCAACGCATGGTCTAACACGGCTGCTGCTTGATTAGCGGACGGTTGTGTCTCGTCAGGTCCTGTTGCTTGGGCAATGTCATCTGCAAGCTTGCTTGCTACAGCCCTTCGTTTCAAGGGCGGCTGCAACGGAGTCACGGAGGTTGCTAACCCCCGACCATGAGATAGTTGTCGCTTGTAGCCAACACTAGCCTGAGATCGTTCTGGTGGTGACGATACGAGCTGTGTAGTTGTTAGTTGGCGCGAGGAATCGTTGACGACCATAGCACGAGACGTCTCGATGGTATCAAGCAGAGTGTCGGTTGCCCCACTTGGCCCTGGCTCTTCGGAGATATGCTCGTCACAAACAGTTCCAGTCGACAAGACAGCGGGTGACGGGGTCGAAAACATAGCGACGTCCGTCGTCGAGGTGCTGGATTCTGAGCTTGGACATACGACGTTGTCTCCGATAGTAGTCGAGGGCGAATTAATATCGGTATTTGCAGACGAATCTTCTGTCGTTGCCACTTCTACGCGCGAGGCGGTCGTAGTCGTATCACACTTCCGCCTCGCTGCAATCGCTGCATCGATTTGCGGCAACGGCTGACGTTGGTAACAATGATCAAATCGAGACGCACGATCAGAACGACATCGCACCACGACGGAACTCCAAAACGTGTCACGCACATGACATACCTGTTGAGCTCCGCTTGCCCGCATTGCAGTCGAATCGGCTGCCTTCGCTTCGACAGCGACCTGCTGAACCTTAGCTTTCGGCTGCAGCTGCGGTGACGACTGCTGTAACAATGAAAAAATACCGACGTCTCATGAGTCACGCATCGGCTCATGAAGAGCTCCCTGGGCGGGTTAAAGCACAAAGATACCTGGTGGGATCTGCTCGCTCGCGTTGCAGTTGAATCGGCTGCCTTCGCTTCGACAGCGACCTGCTGAACCTTAGCTTTCGGCTGCAGCTGCGGTGACGACTGCTGTAACAATGAAGAAATATAGACGTCTCATGAGTCACGCATCGGCTCATGAAGAGCTCCCTGGGCGGGTTAAAGCACAAAGATACCTGGTGAGCTCTGCTCGCTCGCGTTGCAGTTGAATCGGCTGCCTTCGCTTCGACAGCGACCTGCTGAACCTTAGCTTTCGGCTGCAGCTGCGGTGACGACTGCTGTAACAATGAAGAAATACCGACGTCTCATGAGTCACGCATCGGCTCATGAAGAGCTCTCTGGGCAAGTTAAAGCACAAAGATACCTGGTGAGCTCTGCTCGCTCGCGTTGCAGTTGAATCGGCTGTCTTCGCTTCGACAGCGACCTGCTGAACCTTAGCTTTCGGCTGCAGCTGCGGTGACGACTGCTGTAACAATGAAGAAATATAGACGTCTCATGAGTCACGCATCGGCTCATGAAGAGCTCCCTGGGCGGGTTAAAGCACAAAGATACCTGGTGAGCTCTGCTCGCTCGCGTTGCAGTTGAATCGGCTGTCTTCGCTTCGACAGCGACCTGCTGAACCTTAGCTTTCGGCTGCAGCTGCGGTGACGACTGCTGTAACAATGAAGAAATATAGACGTCTCATGAGTCACGCATCGGCTCATGAAGAGCTCCCTGGGCGGGTTAAAGCACAACGATACCTGGTGAGCTCTGCCCGCTCGCGTTGCAGTCGACTTGGAAGTCCTTGCCTTAGCAACCTCTTGAGCTTCATCCTCTGGCTTGTGTTTTTTCACAGTTACCAAAGACTTTTCTAGCACAGGCGTCAAAATGCCAGAGGATCGAGCAGCGCCCACTTTCAGTTTGGCCTTCACCTTCTTTGCTGTTGTACTTGGAAGTGCTAGCAAACGCGGTTTCACTAAAGATGAGTCGGTCTTTGTGTGCTCGCGCTTTAGCGCTTGCTGCACTTGTGGCTTCGCAGACGTTTCTCTCACCTATACCAAGTACAAACGTACACAGTCAAACCACGCAATATCATCCAACCACCTAAGAAACAGAACAATGATGACAATACCTGTGCAATGGTGCCCGTCGAATTTGTTGCTTCCACCTTATTCCCCTTTGTCGCAGCATGTTTTACACCAAATCCACCCGTGGGTTTTTGCACCAACGGTGGCGACACCGATCGCAACTTGTTCTTCACCGCCAGCTCTCCTCCTTCCTTCAAGACTGTGGCCAACGTCCCTCCGGTGCTTTTACATGTCGCAGACACATTACGCTTTCTCTTTTTGTTCTGCTTGCCACCTGTTAACGACACGACATGAGACGCGACCAATGGGACCCTCGCCGCCGCAGCAGCAGTAGCAGCAGTAGCGCCCCGTTTCAATGGCCGTGTACGAATCGACGGCCCTTCCAGACCTTCAGACGTCACCTCTCCCTTCTTCTTCTTCTTCTTATTCTTTGTTATCATCGTCTGCTGCTGCCCTACAGTCTTCTTGGGCCTCTGGCGCTTTGTCTTGTTCGTCGTCGCTGTACTCGGCTCCGCTGGTACAATTGTAGCCATGTTGCCACTGTCGACTTGTCGTGCAGAAAGCGACTTGGACACGGACGCAGTGGGCGAGTCAGTGAGCTCGGCCGACTGCCCAGCTGCGCCCCCTTTCTTCCCGCCTTGCAACGCGCTTCGCACGGACTTGTCATGCGCACGAGACGCACCTGTGGCGATGGCCTGTTTCTTTCCTTTCCGGCTCTTGCCCTTGCCGCTGCGTCCGCCTCGTCCGCCGCCGCTTCCGTCCATGGCGAGTCACTTGGCGCTTTTCAATTGTGACAAGAGGAACACGAAATATTTGGGAATGTGACGATTATTGCAGTGGGCAGTGAGCCATTTGGGTCGTAGGAGCTATTTCGGTTTCTCTCGGAGCGGTCACTTTTTTCACGGTAGAGAAACCAGATACAAATTCCAGTTCTCATTGTGACAATCAGTGGGCAACTACCACTCACTGATTTTTATCGAGAATGTCACCTATTTCGAGACTTTTAAGATATGTAGACAGGAACGTCTCATCTGCAGTCTTTACGCTGCACTTCACGGATTTCAGTCGTGTCACTTTCACACGTGCTCGATTGTGTCTGCGCAGGTCTGACGCACTCGCGCAAATGAATACGATCTGCGAATATTGTGGCTAGCAATCACTTCCTGAGTGAGGTCCCGCAGAATTTTCGAGTGCCCGTTGTGTAGAAAAGGAGCAGAATCGGGGCGATTAGCGCTAGCCAATTTTTTGAGAATAGGTGCAGAAAGCGTGCGAAGCAGATTGACTGGAGAAGAGCGATAGCTAGCAAGACAGGAAGAGAAAGGAAGTAGCAAACGATAGACAGAACCTTATCAACCTCCTACTGAATAAAGCGCACTTTTGAACATATGCCAAAAGGTTATGAGCCCAATGGGCGGAGCCACAGACGCAACTACGAAGACGCCAAGTGGCGTTGCGTGACCCGCTCCTGGACGCGGATCGCCAGCGCGTGTCCCATCGAAAGTCCACGCGTCCGCAGTTGTCGATGACTCGCCCGCTCGCGAAAGGAGTGAGGCGACGGACGGTAAGATCCTCGCTGCCTCGTCGGCTGGACGGACCGGCTGGCGAAGCTCGAGTCGTCGCAGCGCGTCCGAGAAGAAGACGAACGGATGCTCGGCGTTGTTGAGACTGGCATGTTCGCGTCCGCGCTTGGCGCGAACATGCGCGGTCGACCGATGACCATCGACGCGCTTAGGTCGCCGGAGCGGAATGCAGCAGCTTATCCGGAACAAGCGCTAGCGCCGGACGACGGTGTGTCGATGTTTCCGTCGCTGGCACCTCCACGTGGATAAGCGCCGCTCCAACAACGAGTGCCCACGCACGCAGGAGCGCCCGCAGCAGCCAGAGATGGGAGAAGGAGGGGCAGACTACGTCTCGACACCGACTGCGAGCCAACGAGAGTTGTCGATTTACAAGTTCGACGGGACCTGGCTCTACCGAGGGCTAGGTAGCGGCTTCTTCGATTGGGGACGTACGTTCTTGCGCGCGATCAAGCTCGCCGAGTCGTCTTGCGGATTCCTCTACGACAGCGGAACGCTACTACCACAAGGAAGTGGATGTGGTAAAGCGACTATGGAAATTCGCTGTAGAGGAACTGGTCGCATTCCCGTTATGTCCGAGCCAGTTAACGGTCGGCGGCCCGGTCCCACATCTGATCAGATCGCGTCCATTGGACAGTCAGACTAAAATGGATATCAGATCGGGCAGGTTGGGACCTGCGATCTTGAATCAAGGTATGGGGCGGAAGGTAACATTGTCGATCAGTCGATCAAGAAGAGAACCGCGATCAGCAAGGCGATCGCGATAAGGAAGCGATCGAGATCGTGATCATTGATCAGGTATGTGATCGAGATTGAGTTGGTGTGGAGCACACCATGTGATGCGCGATCAGCAAGGCGATCGCGATCAGGAAGCGATCGAGATCGTGATCATTGATCATTGATCAGGTATGTGATAGAGATCGAGTTGGTGTGGATCACGCCATGTGATTCGCGATCAGCAAGGCGATCGCGATCAGGAAGCGACCGAGATCGTGATCATTGATCAGGTAGGCGATCACGATCAGGAAGCGATCGAGATCGTGATCAGTGATCAGGTAGGTGATCGCGATCAGACACGTGTATCAGTTGTGGACTACGCAAGTACAAGATCGCTACCTTCTAGAGAGAGCGACATGTGGCAAAAGATGTCCAAGACATGGGGATAGGGATAGGGTTGTTGTTTGGGTTTGATTGGTTAACATTAAACAGAGTTCAATTTGCTTCAAAGTACACGTAACGACTTCTCCTTCGGGTTGATCATTGGCCACCCGACGTCAAGAAAAGGTTTACATACTTTAATCAGGTGATATCCCTGGATTATTCGGCCAGGGATCAAGATCTCTCAAACAACACCCCAACTGCGACTGGACGCAGGAAACCCTTTGCGGTTGAATACCCAAGATCGCAAGACGGCTCAAGTGGTCAGAAGTGTAATGGGCCACCCCGTTACATAAGTAGTTTCGATTAAGTTTACATGTTACTTAAGTAGGGGTGTTACTTTCGAAGTAGCGAAAGTAGCACGTCGTATATTTTAGCTGGTTTAATGGGCTCAGTACCATTATTAGCCAGTAAGATATAGACACGTAGATTGAGTGGTTCCCATGAGTCCAAGGGAACCATTCGTACTTAGGATGATTTTAAAAGACAAAATATAAACGGAGTTAAAAATACTTAACACCTAAGACTTGGGCTTTGAGCTTCCTCGAAGCGTTAGAAATAGTGTACGCTGAGTACGGGTTATTCTAGCCCCGTTACACCTGGTAGCACTTAGTAGTCCTTCCCATGCCCGAGTTTGGGATGAGCGATTCGTCGTACTTTGACGCTCCAGACGTGAGTCTAGAGCACGCGACTTTTCCCCATCTCACTGGTGTTGAGTGGGATGCCCTAAATCGCCTCGCGGCGATATCGGGAGAGGCATTTGTTGTGTCGCTGATGAGATCAGCGACTCCTGATGAACAGCGTCTCGCCATACACGACTACATGGCTCGCGAGCTCGCCGAATTCCATCGGCGAGGTTTAACTCCCTCGCGGACTTCACGGAACGATGCCGTGAAGATGGAGACCTCCGCCTATTCTGGCGAAGGAAAAGAACGCTTGTCGTTGTCTCGTTGGTTTCGAGAGGTCGACATCGCTATCGCCTCGAGACTTCTCGAGGCTCCTCAAGCGAAGGTCAATTTCCTTCTTTCCCGTCTCACTGGGAAAGCCAAGGAGTGGGCCTTGGGAAAACTCGTTGTTGACGAGTTTGCGTTCCCCACTCTGGAAGCCATCCAGAGTGACCTTCGACTCGCCTTCGAGCCGCCCCAGGAAGAGAAGTTGGTGCGTTCAAGGTTCCTGTCCCTGCGACAGGGTAAGATGTCCATGCGCGACTACGTGCAGATGGCTCGACATCTGGCGTCTTGTATTGTCACGCATCCCATGGACATGTATACACAAGTGAACGTGTTTGTCGATGGCATGCGTGAAGGGCAGACTCGCCTCTCGCTGGAACAAGCAGAGCCTGCCACGTTGGAGGAGGCTTTCGCTATCGCTCTCCGTGAGGATTTCAGAGTCACCAAGGCCTATACCAAGCCTTCAGTTGTTACCGCTGTCAGATCAGCGGGCCCGGAACCTATGGAGATCGATGCAATTGAGTCGTCGGGTGACCGACGACGCGCTACAGCCTACAAGGGCGACGTCCGAGGCGGACGTCAGATGATCTGCTTTCGATGCCGAAAGCCGGGACATCGCGCGGCTGAATGCCGCGCGCCAGCACCGATGTCGGTGCATGCGTCGGACACCCATCATGAGGAAGGTGCTCCGATCAGTCGTCCAAAAAACGGACGAGACCAGTAGGTGCAGGGCGCCCTACTGGTTTGAAGGGAGGTCCGGGTCCACCAGTGGCAGCCCGACCTCCCAGCCCATCTGTGCTGCGTGCACGGTCAAATGCCACCACTACGAGTGGTGATTCACGCCTGATTATTGTTAATCTACATGTCGCCGGTATCCGGCGACCCCTACGAGCGCTCCTGGATTCAGGAGCGACAAACAATTTCTTCCGTGAATCTTGCGTGTCAATGCTGCCACCCAGCATCCAGGTCCACGAGGGACCTGGCCAAGTTGTTGTCAAGCTCGCTGACGGGAAACCACGCCGCGTATCGCGGCGCGAAGTGTCGTTGCCGTACACGTTTGACGGCTTTCGCAGTAACGACAACTTCTTGGTGATTGAAATGAATTATGCATTCGATTGCATCCTGGGCATGCCATGGTTGGCACGCTATAAGCCCCAGATCGACTGGTTAGCCAGATCAGTGAGACGTCGAAGCAAGTTCGACGTCAGCGAAGTGTTCACCCATCTCTTGGTGTCTCCAAGTGATTGGCCGAACGTTACAGTCGTGGATCGTACATCCACGACACCGGCGGTACACAGAGTGAGCGATGGCCCTCTCTGTACCGCTTGTTCCGTGCCCCTACGCACGAGTGATGATGCCTCCTCGCTTTGCAGCGAGGAGTCCGACGTGGACGAGCAGTGGCTCCCACGTAATGACGACGCGGACGAGCAGTGGCTCCCGCGCAACGACGACGCGGTCGAACAGCGGTTCCCGCACGAGAGAGCAGTGGTCGAACACGAACAGGTGTTCCCACCTGTACCCATTGTGGTCGAGCAGAGGCTCCCACAAGGGCAAGACGTGGCCGAGCAGGGGCTCGCCACCGAGTGTGACGTGGATGGACAAGAGTCCCCACGTGCGAATATGATGGTCGAACAGGGGTTCCCATCATCGCCTACTGTGGTCGAACAGAGTTTCCCACATGAGCAAGACGTGGTCGAGCAGGGGCTCCCACACGAGTTTGTGGCGGTAGAGCAGGGGCTCCCGCATCATGCGTCGACGGACGAGTATGGAATACTCCCGTCGCGCGATTTCGACGTCCTGGATGAGGACATCCAGCGTCTAGAGGGGGGTGCAGATTTAACACCTGACTGCGGTTCGCCAGCTTCGAGCATGGACTCGAGGCACGATGGGGACGCAAGCTACGAGAACTCAGCGTTGGAATGTGTTCACGCTATTGTGTACGTGGACAGGAGTCCACAAAGGCGCCAATACATTGAGGTCGCGAGTCCACCTCGCGACGCGTCATCTATTACGAGCCTTCCAGGACTCTCCTGGAAGCATTTTCTACGCGACCTCAAGGGAGGCACGGTGGAACAAGTA